GTCCGGCGGTAGCTGAGGCCAGCAGCCTGCTGGTGTTTGGCTAATCAGTCCTCCAGTGGCTCCGCAGTGACATCAGTGGCTCAGCGCCGTTTCATTGGCATCCTGCTGCTCATAGAACACACAAAAATTAAACAGATTTCTATCAGTTTGAAGTCTACCTGCAGGATATGGGAGATTATACGCAGGTAAAAATAATGTTTGTGTTCCATCATCAGGAACATCTTGGAGCAGAGGTGCTTTTTATTCGTAATGTGCTCCGAAACTGGTCTGTATTCCAACATACTTAATGATGATGGCAGTTGACCTCTTTCTGCTCTAACCTACTCTGAAATGGGACATCATCTACCGAAATCCATCACTGCAGTGTTGTCAGAAGTGAGTTTAACAGTGAGTGAACAGAGAAATGAGTTTTGTGCCAGCTGATTTAAAATGTGTGTTTACTGTGCAGTGAGACTTTCTCAGGTGAAATAACTTTCCGAAAGATTCTTTTTTTTCATTTGTTTTTCACAGGGAAAGCTTTTAGAATGAATTGGCATGCAGATGACAAATGATGTTCCTGCTCTACCAATCTTTTTTTTTTGTTGAATTGGGAAAAAAAAAAACAAAAAAAAAAGCAGTCTAGGAAATCCGTAATGGCAGTCATAAAGTTCATCTACCTCATACCTCCATAATCTGTGGTGATAAATGGAGAGATGATTTGCTTTCACCTTCTGATTTAATAATTTCGGCAGCTCCACTGTGGCAAAGAGGTTTGTAAAAAGACCCTCTCTTTGTTGTTGATCCCGAAGAATGTGTTACGACAGAAAAGCAGCAGATTTCATCAATGTAGGAGGCTGACAAATTGAATTCTAATTTTATTCTACTTTATTTAACATGCAACACAAATATAAACTCCTGAGAAGTCATCCCCAGTCCCTGAGCTGGCAAAAAAATACAGAACGAAAAAAAAAAAAAAGAGAGCGTAGAATACGCTGCAGCTGTCAGGGTGTGAGAAGTTCTGAATCAAGGAAATGATAATGAGGAATTACCATACACAAGGAGCCTGGCACTATTTATCTCGACAGTGTTTGCCTCAACTTACACCTGTGCGTCCTCATTCCTCGCACAAGAGCCATTGTGCTGTAACTAGCAATTGCGCCTCGCTCACTAGCCTCCATCTTCATCACTGCCTGCCGCTTGACGGCTTAATGAGCCAAACTTTGCTACTTGCGAAGAAAAGAGAAAATGTAATCTTTCTCATAAATTGGCAAGTTAGCAAATGTTTTCAGATGTGGCCTAGTTTATGATCAAACTGTACCGGCTGAGCTTTGTTATGTGAAACGGCCTACCTGCTACTGCTGATTTTTAATAGAATGTACACTCTGATTAGCTCCTGATCTCTTTCTTGATTCACTGTTGTATCGTTCTGTCAAGAAACTGTCACATAATAGTGAAAAATGGCCGTCGCTGAGCAAATATTCACATTTGAGATACCAAACCAATTATTTTTTTGGCAATAAAAAAAGATTTTGCCAATTAATTGTTGGGGGGAAAAAAAGCAGATTTTAATTTTCTTTCTGTTGCTTAATCCCCTGTTCGAGCAGCCTTTGTGGTCTTTTTTTTGTGTGTCGTATGACAGACAACAATTGACATGTAACCCACCGGTTTGACGTGATAATTTGATGTGTCCTCCTGGTGTCTCTCTCAGTCATCAGTCAAGCGAGGATTTACACAGCTCTCTTGATCCATTGCCCCCAGTGCACCTGCGTGATTGGCATCCTAAACTGTGAGTTGAACTGAAGCGTAATGATAGCAGGAGGCTGTGGGAGACAATTAGTTGACCCCCACATGCATGACCTTGCTTCTGACCCCACGGCCCTTATTACCTGAACCATCTCCGTATGTGGCCCGCACTTTAATCCAGGCTGATCGATACCTTTAAGGCATCTTAATATCCCAGCAAACCTTTTGCTCTGTGTACTTAAGTGAAGGCCAACAGTATAGATTCCCGTAAACGTACGAATTAGTATTGAATGCAATTTGGATTAAATTAATTTGTGACATAATTAAGAAGGATGAATGTGATTCAGGGTCAGAATTGCATTCATCATGCAAACCGTGCCGCGTCTAAATATCTTACTTTGGATTGCGCTAAAACATAAATTAGCAGCCGTGTGTTAGGAGTTAGGAGTGAGAATTCAGCATTGGCCTCAAATACACTGACTGCAGTGTAAACCACCAGGCTTTCGCATGCCTGTACCTGTGGAAATTAGTCTCAGTGTTTTGTCTAGTGTCCATCTAATTACTCATGCTGCTTCTTGATGTTGCCAGTTGGCCGTCTCCCGCGTGATGATATAAGATGGATTTCATTTTAACCCGGCTGTTTCTCTGCTCCAACTTTAGATTCGTATTCTGGTGAGGCAGGGTAGCTACTGGGGTGAGCCAGGGCTTGTTATCATGTGGTAGTCAGAGAGGTATGTATGTGCATTGTATGCTATTGTGCAGTGTATTATATTGAATTGCTACAGCTGCTGTGAAAGTCCAGTTCCTATCCACTGTACAAGTCATGGCCTCCTGCCTAAATCACATTCCTGGTTCTCGGTAACCGATGCTAGAAAACACTGACAGGTCTGCAGAAACTGTACGCAGTTTTTGTACGTATTGGAATCTGTTGTATTAAATATTTAGATAGATTATTTTTCTCAGGTTGTTGTCGGGATATTACATTCAATTTCTAGTATTGTGATTGGCAATTTTATCTATAATTTTTGTTAGTTAGGAGTGAAGAGTCAGTTTGTGCATCAAGACATTGACTTAATAGAAGATTCTTTTTCTCACAGCGCCCATCTACTCCTGATGATTTATCTGACTCTTTGCTGCTAAATGCTACAAAACAAAATGCCGGCTAATACCTAACTTTGCCAGTCTATCATACAGGGAGCCTTAACGGGTTGCTACGACCTGCAAGACGAGGCCTGCGTTACCCGACGAATACTGATCTTACAGCGTCCTATGAGCTATCCTAGGTGACTACACTGCGTCTCTGTTTTAGAGCTGTTAGTTAAACTGCGCCTGTGGACATATTTAGAAGAAATGGATTCTGTAAACTGGCATTACTACGATAACACTGAGCTGTTTTCTCCTAATAGACCTTCTTTCACAGCAGATATTTTGGCTTGTCACAGTTCGGAGGGCACCGGCACATTAATGATAGTTGCATTCCACTAAGGGGGAAGTCCTGCTTGTGTGCATGCTGGTTCACTATCAGGACTTCCTGGGACACTTAATGGAACCGAGCCATCATTAATTCCACCTGTGCTTTCCCCACTGCGACAGGTCAAAATGTCTGCCATGCAGAAGGGCTATTACGTGATGTGTGAAATCTGAGGGCTGCCTCTGTCCAATGTGGAATATTGTTACTATACCAGAACATTATTGTCTGCAGAATGAATGAATGAATATATGTCTGAATATTCCTCCAGAGTGTGAAGATTTCTTAAGAGATTTATTGTTTTTGTGAAGTAGTTAGGTCAATCAAGATCTTCATTTTTGAGTTTTTTTTTGGTTAAATTATGCACCCGACGCAAAAAAAAAAACAAAAAAAAAAACTGGCAAGCATGGCTGTTTTTTCCCCTCCATTGATTTTGATACTGAGACTCGAATATTTCTTATACAGGTGTGCTATGTTCGTCATTGCTGACTGACGTCAACAGTGCAGTACACATGCCAGCAAGACAACTGAAATTCAGCTGCAGATGCTGTTGGTGGTCTCCCTTGGTAACATACGTGTCACCTTGCAGGTGGTAGCAGTCTGTCAACAGTCTCTATCATGTCCCTTTGGGGTTGGGCACACGGTGTACAGCGCTTTTCGAAACACCTTCACCGAAAACATCTGCCAGCTGAAAATGACACTGATACATGTTTTGACAGTCATCCAAAACTGTAAAGTTACAGGTAGTTATCAAACATGAAGACACTGTGCAGACGCTCTGCTGGTTTATCGCTTTGAACGACTCCTTTCTTAATTCATAAAAATATTGATTAGAGCAGCTTTAACTAAAAGTTAAATTAAAAACAGATTACTTTAGCCTAATTTAATCTTGCACTGCTGTTATTAATGAATATTCTGCAAACACTAAACCAATTACACATTTTGTTCTCTTTATTAGAATTTTAATTTAATTTAATTTTTTTGGTCGGAAATCAGGTGACAGCTTTCCAATTTGTTCAACGAAACACAATAGTCAAACTCATCTCATGTAAATGAGGTCTTGTGGGTCCCCGCAGAGCCCCCGTGACAATACTAGCAATCTCATTCACTTTATCACTCCCCCTTCTATTGATATTGGTGTTCCATATTCAGCGTTTTATTACTTATCGCCATGCAGTTATTCATATCAGCCCTTGTGAGCTGATCAAGGAGCGGAGTTTTTCTTGCAGCGAGGCTTCTCTACTTTGTTGTTTTATCTGGTGCACACGTATGAAAAAGGCCTGAGGGAGAAAGACAATGCTGTCTGCTTTAACTCATCTCGGTGCCTGACACTGAGGTATCAGGCACCGGCAGGGGAGAGAGAATATTTTATCTGACACTGTCACTCTCTGTAGAAACCTCAGGGAGGCCGAGGCTGCTGTGACACACTTGGTGGTCAGCAGCACTGCATATGATTATGACAGCTCATGCTCGACTGGCTGAGGCCACAAGTCTGTGGTGTTACAGTACAACAAAATCCTCATAATAGCACTGTGGACTCTGTCAATTGCAAATTTTTAAATTCATTTTTTAAGCTGTGACACTGTTAGAAAGGCTTTAAAAGTTTTGTAAAAAATCTCCTTCCTTTTGCAAATATTAATAACAGTCTTTGTTTTCCTCAGGTTATAAGCATTCCCCTGGACGTCTTGGACTACGTGGCACAAACCATCAGATGAAGTACGATACAATGCATTTGCCTCATTCATCTTCCGGATGACACAAGTCGGGCTTAAAAGTCCCAGATTGATTTGGATGAAATAGCAAGAGAAGCATGGAGGCATCATTGTTTCACTTGATTGCTGTTTTTGTGGCTGTCCACATGATCGACTGCCAAACAGTCTGCAACAGACAGGCTTCACTTGAATGGCACCTTAAGAAACACTCGATCCAAATGAATTGGAGCCTCGTAGGAAACATCTGCGGGAGCGTTTCCGAGTGTTGGAATTCTCAGGGGGGAGACGAGTCGACTGAGCGGCCTTTCAACTTCCCGCAGATATGCCCAGTTCAGCTGCAACATGGAGACAAACTGCTGATGTCCGCTGATGAAACGCTCAAATCCTATGGCATCAAACTCCTAAATGTGTCCAAAGATGACTTTGAAAGCTGCTCCACGAACGGACAGCTGGAAGATCAGTTTCTCTTCCCCCACAATATAAATGAGGGCGAGCAAGTTGAGGCCAAGTGGCTCATCCCCGGTCATCATTACTTCATTGCTCTGCACGAAGGAGACACGCAGCTGTGCAACCTCGGTTTAAGGCTCAACGTATCTGTTAAAGCGCAGCTCTGTCAGGGCTCTCCTCTGCTTCGACTGTGTTCGGGGAACGGTGTTTGTCAAACAGGTCTCTGGGACGGTGCGTACCACTGTCAGTGCCACCACCACTACTCCGGGAGGTTTTGTGAAAAGTTTGATGCCTGTTTGGATAACCCTTGTGAAAACAAAGGAGTATGTTTGAGCAATGGATCCACAGATCCAAACTACAGAACATATAAATGCCTATGTCCTCCACATTTTACAGGTAAGAACAAATGCCACTGATCCCATTTGTTGAGCTCTCTCAGATTCTTCAAATTTGAGCTGCTTCACAAACATCCACAAAATACTACTCATTTATTTACCGTTGTTGCACATTACAATTACTGTAACTACAGTAATTTTTGTAACACATCGCTGCATCTGCTTGAGAGAAGATATGCTCTGATTAGCAAAAAGACTGGAAAAGCAACTTAAAATCTAATGCAAGCAGCCTTCTTAATTATACGTTTAGTCAAGTGAATGTTATTCCTCATCAGTCCCAAAAATCTCATTTATTGCAAACAGAATTAAAATTGAAACAGCTTACATTCCAAAATTCTTTCTTAAACCCTTTGCTGTACTTTTTCAGCAGCATTATCTTATATTTTATATTTTATATTTATATTGCATCTTCTATTTTTTCTTTTTTTTCTGTATTACTGTTGCACCAACCCACCAGAACAAATTCCTCGTACTGTGCAAACTATACCTGGCAATAAACCTGCTTCTGAATCTGATTCTGATCTACACTAGTGATTCAATTTCAGTTTTTTTTCTTTTCAATTAAAAGCACTTTTCAATTTACTATAACTATAAATCATAATTAGATATAACTATACTTTTACCTCTGTGTATTTCTGTGGAATCGACAACTGGTGTGCTTGTTTTGTTTTAGGGGTAAACTGCTCTGAAATCGTTGGCAAAGAAAACTGTGACAGAATTTGTGAAAATGGGACATGCGTTCAAATGTCACCCGCCTCCTTCAAATGCGTCTGCGACACTGGATCCTCTGGTAAGCAATTCTTTTTCAGCTCGTCATCGGCGCGATATAGATGGATTGTCTGTCACAGCGACAGTGAAAACCTGCTTCTTGAACATTATGACACAGTTTGGTTCCTTGCAGGCGAATCAGACAGTTTTTTTTTTTTTTTTTTAAACAATACTACACACAGAAGACACTGGAAGGAATTGTGCTGCATCCCAGTTCTATATACGCACAAGCGTGTCGTTTGCCTCAAAGGGGTGACTATATTTGGAAAGGTCAAAGCTGAAAACTACACAAGCTATAAATCTTTAAAAGATCAGCGTTTCCTTATGGGCTATAAATGTAAATCCCACTTGATGCTGTATTTGTCATCATAATGTATGAAGTGGCCACTTCAAATCAAATGTGTCGTGTTACAACCGGTGATGTGCTGCAGTAAAAGGCCAGGGGCTAAACTGCTAGCTAACTGAGCGTGTCAGACTTAATAAAACAAAGGTTTACAGCAATCAGTTAAACTGTAATTTATAGTATATTGTTTCTGCTGAGCATTTGATATCAAAACTTTGTTAGAAAAAAAAAAAAAAAGTTGGCAGGAAAGAAAAAAATAAGGCATGGCTAAAATATCCTAACATTTGTGGGTATGTGTGTTTTTATGTTTTAGTTGTTATTTACTGTTCTTTCTTTTCTCTACCACTTCCTGTAGTCCTGTAGCTGATAATACTCTGGTCAAGGCTGCGGTAAAGTATTGTAGTATATCTCCCCATGAGTCATTTACACGGCTGAATCAGAGAAAACTGTTGACGTATTTTTCTTTGCTAGCCTTCACCGCTCTCAAAAGAAAGAACACTGTGTTGCAGCCGTGATCTCTCGTAAACTCGTACTGAGACATCACTGCGTCACTCATTATTTAGTCTCATCTGCTATGATAATGTACAATTAGGTTAATGGGTATCACACACAAATGGGCTACAAGCCCTGGATACTCCTCGGGCTGCCCTGGATATCACTGTCTGCTGTAAAAACAAGCCTGCGATGAACTTTCTGGAGTAAAATCTCCAGGTGGCTCTTCACATTGATTCATTGTTTTGTTTGGAGCACAATTTGTCCTGGCAGCATTCTTGAAGTGTCATAGCTTTGCCTTTCGAGTCCAGCCCATGCTTTCAGCTTATTATTTTGGAGATGTGGTTTCAAGGTTACTTCCAGCACTGTCTGGCATCCTCCTTTTTTTTTTTCTTTTCTTTACAGAGCAGATTAAGGCCATACAATGGAACAAGAAAGTCTTTTCTTTAAGAGTTTGTATGAATGAATGTAGGGAATGAATCGTACCATTAGATGTTTTGGAGAACAGCTCTGAATATTTACAAGAAAAGATTACCAGATAATTCTTTGAGAGTCTTTGACAGAGAGCGTTAATACTTCGCCTTCATCCTTTGGTGCGTGGTGAATGCCAGATGTACGCTGAATTTAATGCTGGATGTTTTTAATCAGATGAACAACATGTATTATATCCAACAAAGAGTTTATGTTTATTGCTTATCAAGACGGCACCGAACCAGATTATGTGTCAAAGTAACCAAAGTCTGATTTAATTCTCTGACATTTAATTTTTTTTAAGAAATATTTCCAGTAATTCATCCACGACCCTAAAATATGATTTGAATTAGCTGCATTTTGATGAAAACACAATGCATTTCTTAACTAAAATAGAAGCCTATTAAGCCACGTTGACAGCGATGACTATATAATAATAACCAAACCACTCAGAGGACAGCCGCACAAAACAGTTGGCTGCGTAAAAAAATGACTGCTCTTGTCTGGGTTTTTTGAATGGCTAATTCATATAATTCACATCAGAAACAAATTGGTGAGTTACATGCTCCTTTGCCTTTGCAGCTTTTATCTAATTTGCTTTAATTGCTGCTGCTCTCTCAAGTAAGCAGCCTCCGCTGGGTGCTTTCGCATAGTCATGGTGTCCTGCTGTCCCATCAGCTTCTTGGGAGTTCTGTGGAGCTTGTGCTTCCTCTCCCTCCCTGCTGCATTTGGCTCATTAATCAACTGGAAGTTAGTGGCTGCTCCACTGCTGGCTGCCCTCGTAGGCCAAAGTCTATGCGCACAGAATAATGAGCCAAACTCATGGGACGTTTCAAATGAGATTTTCTTTTGATTTGACTCTCCTGCGCACCACCTCTTGGGTATTTGTTGCAAGGTATTACCATCTTTATGGAGCCATTTCCGTTTGGTATAAGTTGTTAATTGTTTTTTACAATCTTGTTGGTGGTAATATCAAATTTTGAAAGTTTAATTTGGGCTATATATGTAGTCATTACCCTTGTTAAACAATTTAATTAGATCCGGACATGATGCTTGTTTCTTTATGCATACTAGATAGCTGCAGTTCGTGATCGCTGCAATAACGACTGTGTTTTGAGATGACGGCACAAATGCAAATAAAAAAAAAAAAAAGTTCTATCGTAGAATGCCATAAACCAGAATTATTAGGGAATTCTTACTGGAGTGCAAGAGAGTTATTATGATTATACGTGTCATAAATATGCGTGACAGATGGAAATGTTCCTAAAAATATAGCAGTTTATGGAGGTTCAGCTTTTAGTGTACCAGTTATGAAAACTTCCATTTCTGTTGTAAAATGAGCTGAGGCAAAAGCAAACCCTGAAGTTGTACACAGTAAGATTGATGCCCACAGAGGAGGCTATGAGGAGCCTCTGGGACATGAGCACTTGTATCAGCAAGGGGATTAAAGAAAATATGCAAAGAAAGAGTCACTGGAAAGATAAATGTGTAGGTACCTTGTGAAGAACACAAAAATGAAAACCCTCACCAGGGAATAACATCAAATTTTATTCACCTTGAACCTGCAGTGAATTCAGTCTAATTTTATCCTTTGCACACAATGTCACTGCAGCATTACCCTGTCTCTGGTTAAGCCGCTGGTGGCAAAAGTGTTGTGGTATTTATTAAAAACTACTGGCCACAGCTTAGCTCGAAATGACTTTATCTGGGAAAACGCTTACTGTATGAAACGAGCTGCAGCACAGACTACTTAGTTCACAGTTCAGTGAATTACCGCTGTAAAAATCGATATATCTTCATGGTGATTTTTCATTTATTAATGTACTTTATAGAGATCTATTGACTTAGTTTTTATTTGATGTACATACATGATCAAAATATGACAGTTATCAAGACGTACTTGTCTGTTAATGTGGACTCATTCCATTAAGTTTAGTTCAATTCAGGTCAGTCACTGGAATTATTCTGATACAGTGGTTGAGTATTCTGTAAGCATAATAATATTGAATTTTACTGAAGAATTAATAGCCGAAATGAGCCACTTTTCTTATGTGTTAGGTGTTTTGCCATCGGATGGGGCAGTGTAGAATTAGACAGGAAACAAACGAAAATCAATTACGTGCAAAGCAAGTTTGGGCTGAAATCGAAGCATGGAAATGTGGTTATGTGGTATGCATCTTGACTCAGTCTATCAGGACACACTGTGAAACTGCCTTCTCTGGGAATATCTGCACCTATTGAGACAATTTAAACCTTTAAACATATAGTCAAGTGACCAAATGTAGAAGTACGACATGAAAAAGACAATAAAATTGAAATAAAACGGTTAAAAATAAATGACATGAACAAATAAAATGTAATACATATGTACAAAAAATATTACCCCAGGTTACGTCTGATTATGTGTGATTACAGTAGTAGTAGTGGTGGTGGTAGAAGTAGTAGTAGTAATGATTATAGTACATTTACAATGCAGTGATAAATTGCCCCAAATCCAATAAAGCAAAACCAAAAAAAAAGTGCGGTAGATAAAATGGTCAGCATCTTATGTTGCTTAAGTTGGATGCACCAATGCAGCAAAAAGTGTTTGTACATCCTCCCTCTCCTTACCCTATAATACAGGCTGAGTGAGAAAGATCGGGCAAACAAAGTTTAGCACTTCTGTGGCCATAACATGCAGAAGAGCAGCACCATTACTAGTCACACAGAAATGCGTCATATACCCTAAATACCTAATGAGTAATTTATATGGCATGAAGCAGCAGTGGGAGAGCTCAACATGGACACATCACAATTTGGCTTCATGTAGATGTTTTCTCAATTTACACAATTCTGTGTTTACAGATCATTTGGCAGCTACTGAGCTAAGTATCAGTTTGGTAGTTTCAGGAAAATACTTTCAAAAGGAAAATATGCGTTCCCTCACTTAAACATGGAGAACCCATTGAGTGTAGTCCAAATATTTTTCTTAAAAACCAGAGCAGCAGTTGTCACAAGTTGCATCATTACTTTATTACATTCATCATCATCAAACAACTGGCGCTCCTGATTATGGTGCTAATTTAAATGTGCAGAATTGACTAGATGCAGCGGCACCACCAAGCTACATGGAGCAAGCACAAAATTTAATACACACACACAGACACAAGCGCAGCGTGAAACACCCTGAGATGAAGGCAGTTCTCCATCACAAGCACTAAACAGGAAAAACACAAGGAGGGCACACCCTCGACTCCCTGTTTGTAGCCTTCAGAGGAAACCATGCATTTTTAAGTGAACCAATCCAAATAATTTATTTGCTGTTCGAGACATTTGCCATGTTCTTCACAGCAAGTTTGGTTTCCCTGAAGTGAGCGTCATAAAAAATGATTGTGGTCCTCTGTTAGGCACAACACCACTGTACACAACACAACACTTCATCAGGAAGGGAAAACTTCGAAGGAAATATAATTATTACTTCTGGTTAGTTAGTCATTTCTTTTCCATAACTCTAACTAACATCTTGACAATTTTATTTTATTTTATTTAGTTTGTTGGCTTTAGTGTGATGGTTTCTGAAATGAGAAATACCATTCGTATATACTTAACCTGTCAGAAGCCAAAGAAATGTTTGACATTTCGTTATCTGCTGGTCTGAGGTGATACCGTTTTGCGAGATAAAACACACTTCAAGTATTATAGGTGAGTTATGGTGCTGAGTTGCACCACCAGAGGGGTGTACTAGGAAGCCAGTTTGACATAGCCGGGCTTTCTTTGTAAAAAAAGAAAGACGCAATCGGGGATAATGAGTATCTCGAAGGTGGTTATCAGCTGTCTTTGTCAACTGAAGACTTTCTGCTTCAAACTCTGTGCATGTTCATATAAAAAGGGGTGTTAAACGCGTCATGTGACTCTTCTGCTGCACGAAATAAAACGATTGTGTGCAGCTCTTTCAGTCCACACGTTGTTTTATTGGAGAACAATGAGGAATACAAAAAATTCTGATGGTAAAAAGCTACTGCAAATGGTGCAAGACAGAAATGCTGGTAGGAAACTGTTGAATGTGTTAATATATAATATTTTACCGATGCAGCTGCTTATTTCCAACTGAGAGCTGCAGGTTAAAGTTAAACTTTAAACCTAATGTATTTAAACACGATCTTGTATTGAAGTGCGTTTAGGTCTGACACTGTCCCAAAGTACAGGATATCACTTTAATTTTTGGCCAAATCAAAGCAAAATTAATGTTATTGATTGAATATTCTCTGTAATAAATACCAGAAGGATAATCCACTTTTTAATCTGTTCCCTATGAGCTGCAGTACCAGCAGTGTAAACGGACTTGACAGCAAATCAGAGCTGAACATAAAAACATAGTTAGGCCAACTAAATACATGTCAGGTTTCCATGGCAACGTAATATATACAGTGTGTCATACTGTAACTACACAGTTTCATTCAGTGATATTAGTCACGTACAACTCAGCATGTTTGCAGACAAAACACATTCCCTCAGCTGAGAATCTGTATCATTCATAAATAATAGTCGGTAAACAAGTTGGTTAAAGGGAGACGCTCTTTCAGCCGATTTAAAGCCAAAACTCTGAACATGACCTGCTCCTGACCAGGTTAGCTCCACAGCATCAGTTACCAGAGAAACAGATCTAAGTATCAGTCTCTAAGTATCAGAGATCTAGCGTGCTAAAAAGAGAGCCACCTTTGTGACACTGAAAACTCTGACTTTAGGCTGAACATACCTGATAACCCACTAATCTCACTTCGTAGTACAGCCCTCTGGTGAAGCATCTCGTTGTTTATTACCGTAGCAACCCAAGGAAACAGGCAGTTCTGTGTTGGCCCGCAGAGAGCATTGTGAGGGTCTAGCTTCCAATGCGCCACCATGACAAAGACTTCTGTGGTACTTAAGGCCCTCCAGCCAGCGCTCATGTGTTTAACTAATACAGCATTCTTTTACCCCAGTGGCATATGTAGCTCATCATGTGTCCATTGGCTGAAACAGCAATACTGGCACAGAAGAAAAAAAAAGAAAAAGATAACACCCACTGTGCTTAATTAATATTGAACTAGTTGTACATGGACAATGACACATTTATTAAGAACAGTATGCAAAACTTGCTTGCCAAACATCCTCCCACAGAATCTGCTCCCACCTGTGTGACAGCAGATGTAAACAAGAGATCGAACTTAGATTTGTGCTGATACGGATCAGCTAAAAAAAATACCTTTATCAGCCCAAGTTCTAACCTTTTAGACCGACTGGAGAGATCCCTACTTTTTACAGTTAAACTTGAATTGTGACAATATGTGATAAATTGAGCACTTACATAGTGACAAGAAATTGCACTGCACTTGCTTCCATGCTGTGTAAGTGACATCAGTCCTGTCATTATAGGCATAGTTCTGCTTTAAATAGATTTCATACTTCCATTCCATGTTAAGGAGTAAATGGAATGCGTGAACGCGTGCTAGGTAGGGAACGCGTTTACACATCATACTTAAATGCATTATTCGCAGTCTGAGTGCAGTACAGTAATCTTTTGTTGTCGGTTTTGCAGGCCCTTCTTGTGAGAAGAGGAAAGCCCCCTGTGACCCAAATCCATGCAGAAATGGAGGTGCATGTGAAGAGAGCCCCAAAGGATTCGCCTGTCGTTGTCCAGAGCCATTTGGGGGCCTTTACTGCGACTCTCGAGTTGACATCGATTGCACGTCGTACGCATGTCAGGAGGAACAAATTTGCACCGCAGGGAAGCATGTGAGGACTTCATTTTCCTTATTTGTTTTATCTCAGTGGGACATAAACAAGAAATGGCACATGAAAATTAATAGTGTCTCGAAACAAGATCAAATGGCTTCATTCTGAAGGCTCCGGCAGCAATTAATATTTCCTGCTGAAGATGAGCTAAGGGAAAGAGTGCCTGCGTCCTCTAGCATTTTGATTGAATGACCCAGCGCATATTTAAGTGCCAGTTTGAAATGGCTCTCATCAAAACCTTTTGTAATTGGATGCCTGCTGCAATTTTCAACTTTCACTGGAAACGTTATTGTGGTCATACATTTTGCAGAGGTAGTAGTGTTTCCTAATGCTCCGGAGGATACTCTGGGGAGAACACAGTAGTGGTCTAATTGTCTTTCTCCATGACCTTTGTTTTCTTCATTACAGTTTGCCAAGTGCACTGCACATTTTCCCAACCCACCTAAGAATACCAGAGTAGAGCAGACGAAACGGGGCATTTATCAAAATAATGCCTATTATTGCTGCTGCTTGACATAGATATTTTTCTAGCAGGGTAATCTGTTTAACTTTGGATTACAAGAACATTAACATTTATTAGCCTCTCATAATATCTAAAACTCGTATTCAAATGTATATGAAAGCTATTATTTATTTGCCTACTTAGATTATGTAACTTTAGAGGTCAGTGGCAAATGATCGCGTGAGTCCATCAAGCCGCAATTATATCACTCTTTGATAATAACATTGATAATGTTCCAGATCTAATGTACCTTTTTGTGCAAAGCGACCCTGTTTTCCAAAGTCGACAGGTGACCTGGTTTGTATGCTCCTCTATGCAGGCCTCTGAATGTGTCTGTGCAGATGGTAATGTGGTCTCAGCATGCAGGAGGCAGCAGAACCTGTGCAGCTCATCGCCGTGTCTGAACAATGCCACCTGTGCGTCCAGGGGAAATGATTACTTCTGCAGGTGAAGCACCGAGAGAGATCTAATAGAGGCCGTTCTCACAGTCCCCTTTCCAGATGATTCGAGTGTCTTGTGAATGTGTCTCCCTCTGAGAGCGAATTACAATGAATCTTTTCTTCTTCTTCTTCTTTTTTTTTTGTTCACCTTGTGAAAATGCGATTAGGATTTACATTCCTCTTAAGAGTTCCAGGATTAATACATATGTTGTCAGGTTCATTGTTGGCTGATAATGTTCTGTTTCTCTTATCGTCGATAATATTCACCAAAACCTATTAAAAACCAAACAAAAAAATACCTCAGAGCACCAACTATTACACCAGATACCATATTACAAAGAATGTAACAGCATATACTGTCCAGTATTGACATATACATATATATATATATAAACATCTGTCGGTCTGTACACAAGATTTGTTGACAATACAAAAACACATATGAAATATATCAGTTAAATTGCATTTAGAATTATGCTTTCCAACACAGCATTGTCAGCCATATTATATTTTATCGACTCTGCTCTAAACCTGTAAAAGTGAAAGGCAAACAGACTTGCCATTTAATCTTAAAACAGTTTTCGCCGAGATGCTTCTCGGAGGATACAGGCTTCTACTAGATTACAGTCTGCCTTTGATGCCCTCTAGATACTTATCATCACACCGAAACCTGTTTCCATCGCAGACTAAAACTCCTGCTACTGCTTGTACCGCCAGTCTTTTTTCCCCCCCATTTCCAAACACCCAAGTGAAACACCTCGCTAAAATTACAAGGCAGGATATTTTTGTTGATCACCACTGGGATTCTTATGAGGTATGTTTCCATTCATGTTTATTAGACTTTTCATTCTGCCTTACACCTGCTGTCTTTCAAATCCACTTACTAGATGGGACTGGAATTTTGATTCAGGCTTTCAGACAACAGCATCACACATGTACGAATTTCACATTTCAACATATTTTATGTCATTTATCATTGTCAGAGCTCGCTGTGATTGTTTTTAAATAAATAATCAACCTACCATACTTGATTGTAACAGCTTGTTTCCTGAAATCTGCGGGACGGGTTTGTTTATGTCATTATTAAAGCTCCCACAGTCTTAACAAACACGAATCAAACATACAGTATATGAAAAGTATACGGGAAGTTCTTCAATGGAGGCATGTATTTGTCAAATAAGCAGTTTGACCTTTCCAGTTGTTAGAAAACATAATCTGTCATTTATAATTGACTTAAATTTTTTAGAATAACGTCACCCTTGCCACAATCCAGGTGAAAGCAATTGGAAGAACATGTGTGCACGCTTTCCCGCCCAGGTCCGTATCACAATCAGATCATGCGGAAAACCAAATTATAACCCCGCGTATCCTGTAAAAGAAACAATACAGTATTGCTTGTTAGTGCTTAAGGCTCAGGGTGAATCGATTTTGATGACACTGACCTCTTCTCAACAGCTGTCTGCGAGGGTTTTCTGGGAAGTATTGCGAAGAAAGAATTGACTACTGCAGGCTGCTCAATATCAACTGCCTAAATGAGGGATTGTGCTTGAGTGTAATTGGCGGATATCAGGTAAGTGATTCAGTGTTTCAGTCATAATTAAATACTCTGAAGCCCGCAAAATATGACATGCTGCCCCTTAATGGGGGCTACAGCGTGAACACAATGTCAACTCGTCCATTAGCAGAGTGATGATGCGCACGGTACGTCTTTTGTTTCAGTAACAAGACATTTTTTCTATAATTTTTTCTGATTAAAAAAAAAAAAAACAAAAATCACAATTATAGTAGTCCACTCTATATTTATGCATTCGATTGCATGCAGTGTAAAAACATTCTGTGTGATATATTGCAACCTTTTTCACTTTGTAGATCAGGCATTACAAGCTCATTAGAATCTGCTTGTTGCATGATTTATGTGGCTGCTTAATTTGCATTTTTAAATCTTATTTTTAATACTAGAATCATGTGATCTCTTTTGGACTGATTGGACTGATGTTACTGATGAATGCTTTACACTGTCATCAACTACATGATGTTCTTTTTGTCTTTGAGGAAATTAACTATTATTATGCAAATATATAGATACTGGCTATTGAATGCATGTGTTTTTTTTTTCCCTATTCAATCTTCCTCAGCATGCCACAGTGAAATGTCTCTTCATCTTAGGTCTTTTAAGTTCTGTGCATAAGAAAATCTCCCACTAATTGAATTGAAAAACAAAGAGAATAACAAGAACATCACTGGTAGAATATGTCTACAGACAGCAGTAATCCAATTCTAACCCATTAATCATTGTGAGTATGTGGACGCTTTGTTCAGACAGGCAGGTTCTGGTCTAATTTGCCTCTGTATTGCTCAGTCTTCTCAAATGTCTGCATTTTTTACAGCACCTGAGACTGCTCCGTAATGCCCCATAGCTCCTAATTATTCTCCATCAGTCTTCTTCCATTAGACCGCTGAGAGTGTTCTTAATCCAAAATCTACTTTTAGATGCTTTGTGTTGGTGCGCCTCCAACTGGGGTCAGACATAATCAAAAATTGTTGCTCACTGCAAACAGGCCATTTCCTTTTGCCGTGTTCTTATTTACATTCTTGTGTTGCTTATTTATATATATATATATATATATGTTTTATTTATTTTCTTTTCTCTGACCATGAATAGCCCTTGCCATGTGTAGCGCTCATTTAATTCCTTCTTCCATGAATATGTAGTAACAGAGATGTGTAGAGTAGTCCTTTTGTCTTGGCTCCGTACTGCAACTCTTTGAATTTGTATTAAGGGAAATAACTAAAGTGCTGTTCCAGCCATTCCTTTAGGTTTTGATCTATGTTTTCTTGCTCCTTGTTATCCATCTGAGAGTTTTGCCCTCGCCACGATATAATTAAATTTGAGGGGATCCTAGTGTTTAGAAATTACACTTTCTGGATATTAGAGGTGCAGCTAAATTTATTTAAAGTCATTTATGTAATGCTGTAACTAAAACAAATTGTTTCCACCTCCATCATATTGAGGCACAAATGTCTCAAAGCAGACCGAAACACCTGCATTGCTAGATAATACCTAATGCAGTTAAGAACGTGGGGCTTTTTGTAATTTTATTGTATTCTCTTGTATTTATTCATTCTCCCCACAGGTATAAAGGGATACGATTCCTACACTGTTCAGTTAGACACACCAAACTCACTTAAAACTGAAAACCAACAACCCTCGTAGTCATTGTTTGATTTGAATCCGTCGTCGCTCCAAAACATGCTTGCTCTGTATGACACATTTCGTTACTGTGGGCTGATGTATTCTGTGCTTTAACATCGATCACATGAATATTGTACTGTGTTCCCGCAGTGTGTTTGTACCCCAGGTTGGACCGGAGAGTTCTGTCAGTACGTAGGTGATGCCTGCCTGATGATAAAACCAAACAGCTGTTTAAATGGAGCCACATGCATTACAACAAGTCAGCCATCATCTCCCCCTCAGTACACCTGCAAATGTCCCCGCGGCTTCATAGGTGAGATAACTTTGCTTTATTGTCTCTCTTTGAGCCCTTTCAATCTGTCTGTCCATCTGTCTGTTGGCAAAATATCACAAAGTATGGACTGATTCATACAAACCCTAGTGGAAAGGTTGACTATAGGGCAAAGAATGACTGATTAATGTTTGGAGAAAATCTGACGTGGAACTGGCGTAGCTTTGACAGTTACATGCGCTTGACATTTACAGACTTTGTTATAGTTATAGACACAATGTAAATGCACTACATACCCAAAGCCATCTCAAGATTTGAAGCAGACGTGCAGCACAAGTCGTGAAGGTGGTAGCTTTCTGAATGTTTTACTGTTTTAAGACAGTCAATCTGCAGTCTGCTTGGGAGACATTTGACACGGCGCTCTCATGCTGAGAGGAATCCATAAATTATACATTTTTCTATTTTGCCTTTTGTTGATGTTGTAAGGCGGGTGGCTTGAAGATGGCATAAAATCTATAAACACGTTATGATATACTCTTGTATTCCATTAAAAGTGTATCGTTTGTATCGTGCTAGAATAAATGCAGTTATTCTGTGGTCATAGAAATGCTGGTTTCCGATTGGCTGGCAGGTGTTTATGAACATATTATGTCATATAAATTGCTCTGTAAAAGAAATGCTGCCATTTTTTGTCATGGACACAACTTGTTGCAGAAAAACTTTACATAAAAGGCACAAAAATGTAATTTGGCTGCGGAGTTCATGCAGCAGATACAGCAGTGGATTATGGGGGATATCAGATCCTTTAAACTAAACTGAAGCACATCAAATCCATATCTAAAGCCAGCCACCATCAAACTTAATAAAAAATGGGTTTGAGAAAAATGAAACTTGTCTCTGCTTTGCACTTGTTCTCTTTGCATCTAACCCTGCTTAATGAACCGAAACTATTTTCTATATTTTTATGAACTTCTTCCTCACAAGTTAGTCCTCTTATAGAGAATAATCAACATGTTGAGCAAACATTTGTTATAAACCTTTTTTTAAAAATCTATCTGTAGTTGGTGTTTTTTCTTTCCTGAATCAACTCTGCTAATATCCACGTACCTTGCACGAGGTAAACTTGGACATGTCTCCTGCCCTGTAACACAGGAGTAACCTCAGACTCATCTACGAGTTGGTTTGTCAAGAAGGGTTCACATTTGAGTTCAAGACCTCTGCTAGTGCTCATTGATTGCACAGAGGGCAGCGGGGCGACACAGTAGCATGGGTCAGCAGGGCACTCTTTAACCATCGGGTTTAGGTTCAGATGCCGCGTTCGCAAGCACCTGCTTTGATTAACGTCTCGAAAGACTGAATTACAGCCGGCTCAGGAGCTGCTGTTCCATAACTGACCCCTGACCATAACCAAGGAAAGGGGAACAAGGACAAACAGAAATTAGTAGCACTATTAGGAATAGTAGTTGTTGATTTGTTGCATTTCATTTATTTATATTTTATTGCACTGCACAAACAGAGAAGCAGAACACTTGCATCTACAACTTAGAACACAAGTGAATGCCTTTAAAGTGGAAATAAATAGTAAAGTGACTATTTCAGGCCAGAAATCTGTGGTAAATCACAAGCCAGCCCCAGATTTAAAGCAACAGGCCAGTTCTGTTTTTGAAGTGTTTTTTAACCTTGAAGCTTATTTACCAGTAGTCTTGCCTGTTTGACATTTCTAAGGCCTGCTGCTGATTGCATTTAATCCAAGTAGTTTGGCAAACCGCTTCCTAATTAGCTGCCAGCTTGGAACATGGCCGAAACTTGTTAAGCTATAAGTGACAGTTGTTTAAAAAAAAAAAAAAAAAAGGCCACAAAAACAAGTTGCTACAGAGTATGAGGTGTAAGAAAAAAGTCGATCTCTTGTTTTTATTGACAATACTTTAACAAATTGAATAACCCAGACAAACCGGGGGGGGGATTTTCATTTGTGTATCAATGCTTCAAGAGCTGGCTTTAGAGAGGACGGGCCTTTTGAAAGCGGTGCGTGGTTCACTTAGAAAAATTAGTGCTTACTTATAAACGAGCTGAATGCTACAAGTGCTTTTGGTTGTGGTGCATATCACATGAGCATCTCTGCTCTCTCTCCCATTTCCTTTCCATCTTCACTTCTCCTATCAAACAAAGGCGATAAAAGCGTCCCCTTCCCCCAACAAAAAGAAAGACGAGATGAAGAAACCCTATAGGAGAGTCATATATTTCCTATACTGCTCCTAATTGTGTTATTTTACTCCATACTGCTTATTTAAACAATTAATTCTGCCAAAGAAACATACAAACTCACTTTTATCCCATGCTGTTTTATCATAATTTAATTTAGACAGTACTACATTATGTATAGAAGGTGTTAGTAGACAAAAATGGAACAACACAGATTGGTCCTTGCTGAACATTGTATATAATGTAGAGGGTGTTGTGGTGGTACTGCACAGCACTGGTCTTGTGTTGTTTTAGTCCTTAAACAGCCGGTGAATGGGATTTTTTTTTCCTTTTTTTTCTATCTAGTGCACTCAGGTTTTGGCCTATAGCACATTTCACAATCTACCCTTAAGTCCTGACACACTCAGCTGTCAGTCAGATAAGCCCTTACATAGCACTACATGAACAAGGTTTTTTTCCTCTGTTCAAAGCTGAAATCTGTTGCCACTTCAGTAATGGAAAATTGTCTCTTACACCATGGCAGTTCTTAGTGACTGATAGAATTCATCATTTTCTGGCATCTCGGGATTTTTTGCTTTGGAATTTCGAACCATGCAGCATAGAAAAGGCCAATTTAATTTCAAGCTTTGCCCAGAAACCCCACTGTACTCCATCATAGATCATAACTCAGGATACATTACTGAAGCCGCGGCTTTCGGGTTTCATTTTGGAAGGCTTTATTTTTCACAAAACAACTGTTGGCATTCATTTAGTTAGTCTCATCCATACGCACTCTTGTTCTTTTTTAATTGTGTGCATAATAATACCATAAGACACGGGGATTAGGCAGACAGCAAAAATGCTTCATGCAGTAAAAGTTTGGAATCCCCGAAGACCAACAAAATTGGAAACCAGTTGGAATTTCTTGCATGAAATATGCAACATTTTTATATTATGAACTTTATCTCACAATTCGTTACTATAAAGCATAAAAGCATGGAATATTTTTTTAAAATGAATAAAAACAACCTTTAATGCGTATTGACCTTTTTCATTTTTCTAGACATGCGTAACATTGCTTTATATTGCTAACATTTTGCAACCTAAATTGGCATATCTCATATTATAATTTCCATAAAAAAGCTATAATACTATATAATTGATTTTGTTCCCAGCCATAAATGATTGTAGGCGTTTCTAAGATTTTAGTAGGACAAATTAGTATAATTTTCTGCTGCACAGCAAGGCATATTTTGTCTATAATGACCTGTAGCAGCTAACGTGCAGATGATATCAATCATAGTGTTTGTGCTGTAGCATGAGGTTGCTGCTGTCAAGAAGGGACTTTCACTACATGTCATTGCTGCTCCGTTATTGATGATAGGACATTTTAAATTAATAACCTGCACAGGAAGACACACACCCCCAACCACAGCAGTGGAACTAGCAGCTGCTGAGGCAGCTGAGCACCAAACAAATCTCCCATCAAGATGCCTGCATCCCCCCACCTCATGTGCTCTCTTGAATGCGACACAGCTCGTCATTAGGTGTCTGTTTTCTTAACAAGAAAGTGAACCTGCCCAATCAAGGGTGTGTTTTTTTTTCTTAACATCCTTTTTTTTTGTTTTTTGCATGTCCTCGAGCTCACCACTTAACTCCTGCAGTGTCTTAATAGAGAAAGGTTTGCAACCTAATTACCGTCTTAAGAGAAAGGTTGTTAAAGCAGTTGCAGGAAATTCAAAAAGGAACAATGTGGCGACCATGCTCTTTTATTTTCTTGCTTAAAGTAAATGGAGAAGATCATTAGTGCCCTCACATCTGTGGACTAAATATGAAGTTAAACCAGTAGGAGGTTCATTTAGCTTAGCATAACCTCTAGAAACAGGGCAAAACGGCTAGCCTGGCTCTGTCTTTAGGTTGAGGAAAAAATTGTTAAAAAAAAAAAAAGGAAAGAAAATTCGACCACCAGTATCTGTCTGGCAGCATCACAGAGATTAAAGACTGATTAAAGGCTGTCAGTGCTTCCAAGTCAAAAATGTAATGGTTTACAGATACACATGCTTTTTGCACAGAATAAACACGTATAGTATATGTTCATTTGCGTGGTTAGACTGGTAGTAGGTTGTTGATTTTTCACCTTTTAAGCACAACCACACTTGTTGTTTCCCCTTTCTTTCACTTTGTTTAAATGTAAGCTAACTGGCTCAGTGTCTGGTATCAGTGTTAACATTTAATATCCAATTAAAAAAAAAGCAAATTTGTGCAAACTATTGCTTTACTGAACATAATTAGAACATAAATAAATCAAGAAAAGAGGCTTTTTGCAAAGTTGTATTTTAATAATGCAATATGCAGGCAGTATATATGATATAATAGGCTGCATTTATAGCTTTTCTGCAATATAAATGCTGTGAAATGTGACCAGAATGTGAATACAAATGCCGCTAATTGCATCATTTTTTTCTCACCTCTTTCCTCAGGCGCTAAGTGTGAGACTGAGATCAATGAGTGTGACTCCAGCCCCTGTCAACACAACGGCACATGCACTGACTTACTAGGAGACTACAGCTGCCAGTGTCCTTTAGGTATGTGGATTTATGTCCAAATCTGAAGCTCTGTATTAACGTTTAACCTACGTTTGTATTGGATGTGGTAGCAGGCAGCATTGCAGACCTTTTACACATGTCTGCAGTGAATGTGGCCTAAGATTCTAAGCCGGGGCCCCTCTGGCCATCTCAGTGTAGCCTGAAAACCAAAGGTGATGAGCTTTAGCCAGCAGGATCCCCACACGGTGACACATCCTGCCTGAGGGAGTTAGGATAGAGTCGGCATTATTTAACTCATCTCATGAATCGTATCTTCAACCTAATTCCTAAAAATGCTTTGCTATTCCAATGGAACTATGTGAATTTGTGTTCTCACTACTTTCCAAACGTTTTAATAAATGCCCAAATGCATTTCATCATGATTCCACAAGTTATAAAAAACCCATAAAAAAAAAGCCAACTTCCCAGCATGCCACTGATCACAACATGCTCCACAGAGACAACAAGGCACAGTCAGGGTCTTTGTCACATTATACACAGTATCAGTTTACAGTCTTGGCCCGTGATTGACGGCTGAGAAAAATCACCAAGCTCATAATGCGGCCAAATTGTGCAAATATTATATTATGAAATTCCCATTAATATAATTTTCCTATAATTGCCTATTGTGCCTCACCGGCTGGGTCTGAATTTACATTCGCCGAACATAAACTGATGGACGACTCGCGGGAGCTTGCTGTTGTTGGCAAGGCGCAGTTTGTGTGTCTGGCAATTTCTCTTGCTCTGCCTTTCTGGAACACTTTACTGCCCGTACAGACCAAAGACACAGTGGGCAGAGCATCATTGTGTCCAGGTGACGTTTCTGGTCTCTCAAGAATTTGCCACCGTTATTTTTAGCCGTTGTTCCAAACTAATGTTTTCGGCTCTTTGGGGGAAGTGCAACATTGACGGTAATGAAACTCTGCTTGTTCACTCTTGTTCAATTAAACATTAAAGCACAATACCGGTGTTGATGACATACAGGGTCACAGACTCTGCTCGCCTCGTCAGTCGCTGAATCACAGTACATTAGAGTCACTATTTGAGGTGACATTCAGAGGTGGCATTGCGTTTTCATCAGCTGATGAATGGTGTCAGCGCTTGAGGTTTCTAAGGTACACCTCTCCATTGTTTGAAAGACTGTGAATGATAGCTTGAAGTGTTATTCATCCATCCTCTTCCTACACCGCTTATCGGGCTCAAGGTTGGAGGGAGTTGAAGACTCATCACCTCGGTTCAGTTCAATTTGTGGAATTTTGTTCGGCTGAAGTTTGCATCAGCACAGTTCTGTCACAGCCGGAACATAACTGTATATCCTGTATGATACAGCATACGTACATCACAGCAGTCGGGTATGGATGCTGTTGCGTAAGCCTGTCTGGGCTGAGTGGGGCACACCCTCGACAGGTTGCCAGTCAATCTCAGACACAACACACAGGCAGAAAAACAAAGTCATACCTACAGGGAATTTAGAGTTTCCAGTTCACTTAACTGACATGTCTTTGAATTTTTATGTAGGGTACTAGAGGAAACCTTTGCTGACACAAACAGAACTTGCAAACTCTTTTAAGGGCAAAGCAAGCTCAAAGTCACCATCTTGTGAATAACAATTAACAATGCAATAATAACTCAGGCGCCTTTTATCAAATGTAGCGATAATGAAAAAGCTAACATCATCATCATGGCCTCTCTCTTGAAACTTCATAAACAAATAGGAACTTAGTTGAAAAAACATTTGACCAAGGCCTTTCTCTTTTCTTCTCTCTCTTTAAAAAAAAAAAAGAAAAAAATCACTTAGGTAAATGGCAATGTTCAGTTCTGTTTAAATGTTCATTTTTAAACACCAGATTTGGACCGAATGTCCCTTTGTGCTTTATTTTTGAGGGAGCATCTCTGTGGAAATCTGGCTGTGACATTTGAGGAACTAAAGGGTGGCCTGATGGTTATGTTGTTGGGGTTGTTGAGTGGGAACCTCCCATCACAGATGTCAAGTTGAATTAGACCCATGACACCCCAGAGGGCTCGACGGTTATCATGCACCACCCCCGTTACACCTGCTCAGAGAACCAATCGGGACTGTACCCATCCACACTGGCCTGTCTATATATTTAGAAACATGTTTCACAAACCTGCCTATGATGACTATATGTCGTTGTCGTCCCCCCCGTTGCCATAAATATCAGCGGTAACCTCAAATTGCACATTGTGGGACCTAAGCTAAAAAGCTCCTAAATGTGTAAGATGATTATACTGCTGCTCCAGAGTGTTGTTTGACCACTGACTTACCGCTGATATTTGCTGTATCTCCTATTTTAAACACGAGCTACATATCCATACTTTGCACGCAAGCTGTCACCTTTTTCCTTTCAGCCAGAGCCATCAGTTGCTCTTTTCAGCCGCCTCTGAAACTGCCTTTGCAGCCTGCCGTAATCCCTGATCATGAATCCCTAACTCCCTGAGTAAACTGGTACTAGATGTGGCCACAGATCCATGGTAACGAAATTCCACAGGGCGTAGCCTGGCTTTCCAGTGTTGCTACTAAATCTCGTCTCTTATAACCTAAGCCTCTTCCGCTCATGTGCCTCATCTGCTGCATCTTCTTATGGTAAAGTGAGTTTGTCATATAGTCCCACCAAGTGTTGGACCACAGCACTAAGCAAAGTTTTAAGACATGGGTGGAATTACAATGCAGTGTTTCCTTTTTCCCAGTCCTACCTGCCGCTGAATACGTTATCCTGCACCAACTCAATAATACATATTTCCTCAACAACAGCACATGTGCAAATGTAAGGCAGTGTTCGCTCACCTACAACTTACAGAATTCATTTATGTTAGTTTATGGTCCATTTAACTGAAGGGTATACCGAATGTATCATGTCTGAGAACAAAAGCATCACATATTATTTCTAATTACTCGACAAGGGTTTTCCTGTAGGAACAAAACAGAGTGTCTGCTGTGGCGCTAACCAACCCTTTTTTTTTTTTTTTTTTTTAACAGCAGCAAAGAATGCTAATGATTACAGATGAGTATTAAAATAAAGGGAGCAGGTACAAGAGGGAGATAAAAAGGTAGGAAAATTAAGAAGCGCCATGCTGTTGTTTGCCTAGTCAAGCTTAACCTGAAAGTTAAGTCGAGGCTCAAGTTAAATACAAATTCAGGGGGGCAGCAAGGCTCATCGGCTCTGCTCCAGAATGGGGCCAATCCTCCAGTCGACCCACACTTTGGACAATTTGGCTCTTAAATATGCGGAAGAGTCGGCCTGGTACAGTGAGATAAATTAGAGATGGGTTAGTGACAATCTGCTGGTCAAGTATAACATGTATTAAATCTTTTCTTACAGGCTTTTTGGGAAAAAACTGTGAAGTTGACATCGATGCTTGTGCTCTGCCCAACAATACGTGTCCACCAACGACTCGGTGCCTGGATCTCCCTGATGGCCTTCAGTACACCTGCCGTGTACCCTGTCCTCAAAACCTTCAAGTGAGTAAAAACATGTTAATTCATCCTCCACTTATTCACAATACATTGGAGGATGGAGGCCTCATTTACAGATGAAAGATGTGGGAACACAAATAAGACACTTGAAAAACAATATTAAAGTGCAAAGTTAGTAAAATGATTTTTAAAAAAGCACACTTAAGGCATTTTAGGTTTAAAACTAGATTATCATTTACAATTTGTCTCCATTTTCTGCTTTATATTCCTTTCACAAGTTTTCAAGTAATATAAATATTTCAATAATCATCTCCTTGTTCTCATAAAGAAACGTATATGTATTCTCTACGGAAGTGCAGGCAACATTATCTCAACAGTAAGGAACCATAGCAATGAAATTAATGAGAATCTACGTAGCTGGAGGAGTTTCCTAACTCTGTTTGATCATTTTTGTCATTTATGAAAGCGGAACTCAGCCGAACAATCACGATGACACCCAGTTGAGATGGCGATACATAATGGATGTATTTCGAAATGAACAGTGTGACACTTGTGGCATAGGAACTTAAATGAACCTTGATCAAATACAGAAACTATTGTAGTGGTTTAAAACATGTTGCCTAACTTTCAGATGTTATATAAGAAAGCTGCTGCAAGAGTTCTGCAAAATGTTTCCACAAACTGAATCCAAACATTGAGAACTTGAGTGTGAAGGTCTCAAATATTAATTCAGTATCTTATTTATAAAATGTGGGATAATCCTTTGTTATACACAGGGATAAAAATAAGCATAAGTCCCACAGGAAGATTGACAGCAAATGCGATAATCCATAAACACAGCAATCAGCTGGTGTCGAAGCTCTACAGTATGTTAGTTCAACCGGGAAGAAAGTTGTATTAAATCCTTGACTAATGAGGGAAGTCATTTGAAATTTTGCTGTGTGAAATAGAAAACGACAAAAACACAAATGTAGTCGAGAGATTTTTACCTGTGATCTGACTCTGCATACATACAAAAGCTTGGTTAGTGAGCACAGTTAGTATGCACGATATACTGTATACATCTTCCATACTTTGGTGGAAGAAGACAAAGCAGCAATGTGTCACTGTTAGGATTTTTGCATTTGACATGCACAATGGGAGCACATTTACAGGACTGAAAAGGCCTCTGCCACCTGACATAAAAGAAGATTTGCTATGTCTGTATTTGTCAATGCTCCGATTTCTTTATGTTTATAGGAATTGACCCTCTGCTTTTTAAAAGAAAAGCAACCAAACCTGAACAGAGAAGCTACTTCAGATGACAGATGGAGATGATTACTCACTGTGGAGCAGGGCTTGTGTTGGCCCCGGTACAGAAATGCCATGATGTCTGCATTATAACCATCCCAACAAGCCAGCTCTTCCTCTGTCCCTTTGTTTCTCCTCTACCACATATACACATGCACCAGCTAGTGTCCTTTTTTGTTGTTGTTGTTGTTGCTGCAGAGAGCTCTTGGGAGGTTTAGCCCTCAATGACCATTGATCTTTTCTTGTAAGACATGATAAAGATGCTACACGGAATACTGAGTGAATCCACTATAAAGCATGAATCAGTATTCATGACTGTGTCATGTGGCTGTAATGAAGCTCATTTTCAGGCAGCCAGGAGCAAGAAATGAATAGGGCTTGCATTGTAAAATAATTGATACATTTTTGACCAGAATAAGCTGAGTCCAATCTAAGATATTACCGTACAAAATAAAGCGGGTTCATTTTTGCACATGAAGCAGCATCTTTGAATTTTCTGACATACAATTTTTCTTCTTTTAACAGCCGTGTGCCAATGGAGGGAACTGCGTGTTGAATAATGCCAGTAGCTACACCTGCATCTGCACACCTGGTTGGACTGGTCAGAACTGCCGTGTAAATGTCAACGACTGTATTCAACATTGGTGTCAAAATGGAGCCACGTGTGTGGATGAGATTGATGGTTACAGGTTAGTGTTCAAATCCTGATTGTCTTCCGGCTATTCTGGCAGCAGAATGTCAATGATTGTAAAAGCTGTGACATTTACTGCTCCCTTCCTTCAGGGTTGAAGGAATTCTTCATTCTCTATACAGTATTAAGAAATTCTGTTTAATCTGTTGCTAGCTGCCTTTGTCCCAGAGGATACACGAGCGTCCACTGCGAGGACGACATTGATTACTGTGTTGGCCATCGCTGCTCTGATCACGGCGTCTGCCTGGACCAGCAGCACAACTTCACCTGCCGCTGCACACTCGGATTTGAAGGGCCGCTCTGTGAAGTGGAAACAAATGAGTGCAACAGCTTCCCCTGCTCAAATGGTGCCACCTGTGTGGACCTAATCAGTGATTATCGGTGCCACTGTCCCCGAGGCTTTGAGGGTATGAGACCATCTGATGCGAGCATATTTGCAGGCAGTATAGCCGGCCAGAGGAATGGAGGTTTAAATGTTGAGGTTTTGAAGCTGAAATATGCACCATTTAAACAGAAAGTTCATCAAAATTTGCGTGCATTTCATATACATAGATTAGCCCCAACTTTAAAACCACCTGCCCAGTATTGTGTTGGTCACCTTCATGCTGCCAACAGAGGTCTGGTCCATTGAGGCACCAACACTTTAGCAGCAGATCTGTTGAGCCCTAGAAGTTGTGAGAGGTAGCCTTCGTGGATCAGAGTTTTCCAGCACATCTCATAGATACTCAATTGGTTTAAAACCTGGGGAGTCTGGAGGCCATGTCAACACCATGACTACTGTGTCATATTTCTCAAACTACTCCTCTTTTTGTAGTACTGCAGGCATCATTATCCTGCTGAAAGAGGCCACTGATATGATGGAATATTGTTGCTATAGAAAGATGCACAGAGCCTGCAACAATGTGTAGGTAGGTGGTACATGTCAAGGTAACATTCACATGAATGGCAGGACCCAAATTCTTCTAGCTGAACATCGCCCAGATAATCACACTGCAAGCTAACGGTCCACATGACATAAAAGCAACCTCGATTCCTCGGAGCAGGCCATCTTTTTCCATTATTCCATGGTGTGTGACTCTTACAAGAAACTACAATGCACTATATGTTCTTACACCTTTCCATCACAACCAGTGTTCAGGTTTTTCAGCAGTTTGTGCTACAGTAGCTCTACTGTGGGATCAGACCACTCAGGCCAGCTGTCTTTTTCCGTGTTTGCTAATGAGCCTTGGGTGCCTGTGACCACCGGTTGTCCTTTTTCTTGGACCACTTTTGGTAGCTGCTAACCACCGCATCCTTGCAACACGCCCCACAAGACCTGCCGTTTTGCCAGTTGTCTAGCCATCATCATTTGGCCGTTGTCAAAATTGCTCAGATCCTGTCAGTTGAACACTTTCCTGCTTCCAATACATCAGTTTCAAGAACTGACCGCTCACTTGCTGCCTTGTATATCTCTCCCCCTGACAGCTGCCATTGTAACAAGACAATCAATGTTATCCGCCTCTCCTCTTAGTGGTTTCGTGTTGCAGTTGATCGGTGTGTATCAGTTGTCAGACCGAATATGCAATTTTGACTATGATGAAGGTATATCTATAATGATTGAAATACATAGAATGAGTGAGTGTGAATTAAAAGTATGAGAGCATTGTTTTTGATTAATTTCATAGCAATAATATGCTGTATTATGTTTATTATCTCAAAATTACATGAAAAAAGGTATAGGAATTGTATACCTTTGTATGTTTAAAATAGTTTGGCTGTTGCTTACACATTCACCATGAACCACTCGTATTAATCGTAGCCATGAGTCATGTGAATGTCCAAACCGGACAGTGGTGAAACCATGTGCGGAATGTGTAAGCAGGTAGTTAATATCAGGGGCTGGCTCAGTATCATACCAGTCGTAGAGTGTATAGTATAAAATGTGTCTTGAATGTGTAAAATATATTTAGGGTGGCGGTATAGTCCGCAGCTACCTTAATTATGTGAGTACCTTACAGGACATGATTAACGGAGTGCTTGCCAGTGTATGGGGTCACGACGGCGAAAGTACAATTACCTTTGGTGTAGACAGCAGTGCAGATAGGAGAGCAGCGCCCGGGCATATCGGGCTGTTAGTTCTCTATGAGCTCTGTGACTCACGGAGAACTGAGAGGTCTGAAATATTGCCAGAGGCCAGACCGAGTGGAGCTTTAAATTTGTCAGTAAAATCTTCAATCAATTCCATATCTAATACTTGCCCCGAGGATACTAAAACTGAGGTTGCACCATTTATGCATACATACAAGCTGCAACATGCCGAACACATAATCATTCAATCACGTTTTGAGCTCCTAGGATCAGAAGTAATCAGCTGCCTCGTGAAATGAAATCATGCCTTCGGTAAACTGGCTGCCGCATTACTGAAGACATGATTCGAAGACAATGAGCAGAAACGTGTGCTGCATAGGTTCGGCGTGTTGTGGTTACAAATACTAATCACATATTGGAGATTCACTACAATAATTATTAAATTCTCACAGCGACAGCAACATTCATCGGCAGGCACGTTTTAAACTGTATTCCCTGTAACATTAAATAGAGTTTATTTATTTCTCCCCCTTCATCTTGCAGGAAGAACCTGCTCTGAGAATGTAAATGATTGTTGGTCGCAGCCTTGTCTAAATGGAGGCTCGTGTATGGATCTGATAAATGACTACATTTGTCACTGTCCTCTTGGTAAGTACCGTCTACTTGTGTATTATTGAGCATGTTTACAAAAATATCATGCTATTAATTTTCTGTATGCTCTACCTTGGGGATATGTGAAAAGTTTATTTCTTACACAGTTAAGTTGTGTGATGATAATTCACTTTTTTTAAAGTTTAAAATGTGCTTTCAAAAATAGAAAAGAGATGGAATTATCATTTACAATATTCCTTTAAATGCATGAATGCAGGTTTTAAAAAAGTTTCCACGTGCAGCACTAAATCGGTATTACGCATCAGGGTTAGGAAAAATAACACAATTTGTTTTGCGATTTATTTTTCCTAATCAAGGCTAAAACAAGCATCAGCAGTGTAAAGAAAACACTCAAAGTATTCTATCTTGTTAAGCGCAAGTGCATACAAACGTGACTTTCCTACCGTAATTCAACTCTGATTGAGTTTTTGGCTTGTCCTTTAACCGAGTGACAACGTGTTTTACACATTTTCCACATGTTTGACATTTATTTATGACACATGTTCTGGAAAGGATCCATAGCTGGCCCATATCAGAGGTTGCATTTCCTTTGTGTGCGGCTAATTTTACTATGCCCCCTGGCAATAAACACACTTAATCACTACTTGATTGCCCAAGTCAGAATGCCGCCGCCAGCCCACTTGGCATTACTAGTCCAATGTCACATTCACTTGTAAACAGCCACAATCCACAGAGCAACGATTTACAGACAAATATTTGAAAAATAAAACCCACAAAACATAGGTGTTGACAGGACATGAAAAGATACTCCGGCGTTGGGCAGTTGGTCGATTTTGATGAATTATTTTCTTTATGTGTTCCACAAAGGCAGAAGTGTTGCACAGAACTGTTACAGGTTGTGTATTATTCTGCTTACATTGTTTACATTTGATGTAGTCAAACTGTGTGTTTTTCCTTCCAGTCAATATGCATTCTTTTTTTTCCCCCCATCAGCCAAATATGTCCCTAATTTACTACGCAATAAATCTACACAAATGCGGTTGAAGTCATTAAAACATTTATTACCTTGAAACATGTACAGCGTCTGTTACATGCTGTGTTTTTATGACATTATGGACACGGCAAATGCATCCCTGTAAATAATCTGCTCTTAATATTTTCTGCCTTTTGCTCAAATTAGATTACAGCCAAACCAGAACACCGGTGTGCGAGCAAAGCTTCCATTACCGCTTTAATTTCACTGACGGATTTATAGAGACGTGTTTTTGATCGCTTTATCCTTTCAGAAATTCAATTAGATAAATGGTCCGTCAAGTTTGTGCGACCACATCCTCCAAGAACACACACACAAAGGATCAGGGAAAAAAGATAACTATTTTACAATCCTGCGTTCGGCCAGGAACGGTCCTGCCACCTGTTCCTGTCTGCAGCTCGAGTACAGCGTGTCTGCGTTATTGAGTTTTACTTGTATTGTTGTTGCATTTGCATTTAAATTCTTATTACGTCGGAAACTGTACTGGAAATAGCCTAAAAAGCTCTCTGGGATTATTCAGACAAGCTTGCTTAATTCTTTAAATTTGCTGTGTTAGTGTCAGAAAAAAAAAAAGTAATTTTTAGTCTGGATCTGCATCAAAACACATTGATGGGCAGTTTTGGTGGCTGGTTGGTGGTAGCTTTTTTTGGAGAATGTCCAAGCCCTGTCACGACTGTGCCAGATTAATCAGCAAAGTTACTACCAATTAAATCCATAATGTTTCTATTGTGCCACTAAAACTTGCAGTGGTGACTTGAAATGCGCTTGTCATCTAAATTCCTCTACACCTGCAAACTCACATGCTGAGCAAACGCCATAATTTAATCAAGCCAGAAGGCACTACCCGTTTAAAAGCAATGCAAGGGGAAAAAATGGTTTAGTGTGAAAGTGTTGCCTGACATCTTCACTGATTCACTGACTTTCTGTCCCTAATTTAGCAATTATATCATGAAATGTAAAAAGACTGGTCAAAAATGTTGCAAAATCTGCTTTAAGCGCAGATGAACAACAGATATTCCCGAAAATGCAGGAAACATTCATATGGATTCCCTGTGGTGCTTTATAAATAGACACATGGTGGCATTAGTAGAACTGAAAGCTTTCTTTATTGCCTGACCTCATCAAAGTTCATTGAAGGCTTGCTACATGCAAACAACAAAGGCCAAACGCATGTTTGCTGGAGGAAATGAACCACACTCACTGAATCCATATTCCATATTCATACATGAACACTGGCATATAATTTATTCAACAACACATCAAAGTATATCTTGTTACTGGTCATATTGATCATGAGAGATTTGAGCTAAAGTGAAAAACAGCGAGTTCCACTGTTGTGCCTCTCTTTCTCTGCAGTGGAGTTGGACTGAGCCACTAGTAGCTGTCAGATAGAACAGGGAGTCCCATTTGGAGATGGTGACACTGTAAATGTGACATTCCTTCATGCAACATTAACCTCAGAGTGAATTGCATGCACAATTGGTTATTAAACACTTCTGAAACACTCTGTTGGAGGCAATAGCTGTCCATTAACTAGTCAAGGCAATACATAATATGATGGGAAAAGGGTAGTTGGAAGGTCATCAAACATCTAGATAGATGTGTTGATGTAAAGTCGGCCGCTCTGGAGCCACGTTACTATGTAAAGAAAGTGAAGCCTACCTACAGCTAAATGTGCCACATAGTTCAATATAAGTGTTGTGCAATGTGTAAATTTAAGTCTTGATAAGTAGGATATGTATTAGGAGGTGATATGTGTAATCTTTCACTCCTTTGCCACTCAGTGAGACTCCACTGCACAGATCTGAACTCTGTGCACTTTTGGCTTCGTTCCTGGTGCATGACTCAGTACATTTATCTGATACAATCACACATTTGCTATGAGACTGCCTAATTCCAGCTTTTGTGAATATAATTGCAAAAGGAAAAAAAAAACGTTGGTCTTCTTGGGCACCAGTTAAACAGTAAAAAACAAAGTAATCTGTTTTAGGATTCTCCCCCTTTAAAGTAATCCTTATTTGTGCCAGCACATGTAATGAGTATCAGTCGCACCATCCGTCTGTGCTTTATTTACAACAATAGATATTGGCATGGATATCTATCAGTGACATGCAGATGTGCATTTGGTGGGCTAGATAAATGTGATATAGATCAGTCTGGTATGGTAGGTCTCTGTCAGTGATTCACTCAATTAGCATACTGCATAGCAGGTAGATTGCAAGGGGAAGAATCAATACCCCCATTAATCTGCTAAAGAAAAGGTGTCTTCACCTAATAAAACTTACAGCCATAAATATGTGTCGCATACCGTGTGTTACGGTTATTTTGTGAATTCGGTCCTTGTTGCTTGTTTTCCCCAAGATTTTGCAGAATTTTCCTTTTGCACTGTTGCTTAATTTTGTTCGCAGGATTCGAGGGGAAGGATTGCTCTGTAGATGCTGACCTTTGCTCACTTGGAATGTGCAGCGAACATACGCTAATTTGTGCCGAGACCAAGGATGGTCAGAATGTTACTTGCACATGTGAAAGAGGTGAGCAAGACCTTTAACGGGTGGAAAACGAACACATGGTGAGAGTGAGAATGAGTGTGTTTCTCATGCCTACTGGCTTACAAAAGGACAAGTTGCCTGTATTGAAGGGATCTGGTAATGTACAGCAAACACTGCAGCTGCAGGCTGTCTCTAAATTCACTTTTCCTTTTTGTTTTGCTACAAAAAAAAAAAAAAAAAAGACTGCACAAATTCTATCTGCTATGTCTGCTTACTATTCAAAAGAACAGCTCAATAATTATGCAAAATGTTTCAACAGTTCCCAACTATTTAATAATCTTATGGTGATTTACACGGATTAATTCAATAACGCCTGCAAAAACATAATGTTGTTGGTGTGTCAGTCAAATCCTTTTGACTCCCTTCCATGAGGATGACAGTGTTATCGCAGCAGTTGCTGCCAGAAGTGACAGAGATAACGCAGGAGTAAGTGGAAGAGGCTTGACCTGTTAGATACTCTAAGCCTTGCCAGGGGTATCCAGGCTTCAGAGTCTTCCAAGTCAAAGCTGTGTGTGCTGTCAGTGATAGAGTGTCACTATGGCACCGCGTGTGCATGCACAGGAAATCATACAGCTTATTCCAGGATGCAGTTGGGCGACTTGAAATAAAAACATTTCGCTTACCGTGCCGATCATAATTCAGTCCACAGCAGCTCCAGCATCTCTTTTCAAATGAATGGCTATTACATCGAAGTTCATGTAACCCAATCAATAACCGTAACTTCATTACTCCTGTTGCATTTATGCTCGGCAGATGTCAAAGTGAAGGATTGTGAGTGATTTCTTATGTAAATGAAAGCAACCTGCCGCGAGCTGCTCTACCCAGATCACTTCTCAAGGGCAAACTGTGAGATGCTGTCTTGTCTAGATGTTTCAGGTCGGCAGTCTTGGCATCCATATTATCTAATGCTTGCCAACCTAAGGTGTTGCAAAACATGTTACTCACACCCTCCCTCACTATACTGTGTAGCCCACGCTGTCAACTTTTTGACCTAGTATTCAGTACAGACACTAAATCACATCACGGAACTGAGAACGCTAGAAAAACTAAAAATAGAGGAGTTTGCATGGTTTTGCATGATTCATATGTATCAGTTGTTACTGTATTTAAAAACACGAAGCCCTGTCTTGGGTTTCTGGTGATGTTCCTACTTGATTTTCAAGTGATTAAACTCTCTCGAAGAGCAGATTTTGCAGGACAATAAATGTGTTTTTTGTTTTTTTTTTTCAAACCCCGAGGCAATTTTTGACAGCGCTATTGTTTTGTTTCACATTAGCATTATTTCAAAGGAACAACTTTGCAGTGTAAGACTTATTTTTGCCATAAAATTATTGGAGCTCCATTATTTGTCTCATCAAAAGCTCTTCTTGGCATGAGACGGTTTTTGTCAAGTGGCAGGTTTTCGCAATGCAGCAGTTGTTTTTGTTTGGCTTCAATTTTTTGTTTTTTGGTTTGGTTTTGTTTTTTCTACACTTTTATTTTGCAGAAAAACTGCTTATTCTGCAGTCAGTTCTTTTTCTATTCAGTTTTTTTTTCTTTTACCACATCCCTAATTGTGAAGTACATCCAGACCCTCATGCTTTCTTTAGTCCTCGGCTGATTGTGCGAACCGCTCACAATGTACACGCATAACAATTGCTCCGTGGTAGATAAGTGTGAAGTTAACCCACATACAGCCTGTGTAGCACCGGCAATAATACGCCTTTAAAAAAAAACGAGAATGTTTCTTCTCTTTAATGGCCTGGCTGAGTGTGTGTGAGCTGTGTGGGAGCGTTTACACGTGTGCGCTGATGCATGTTATTTGTTTCATGTGGTTCTCTTTGTGTATAGATTGACTTTGATCTTAAAAATCACTGGATTTGCCTTGTTTAATGTAATAAATCAGAAGGGCAATGACTGGCTCTTATTAAACATGATTAAATGATCCAGTGAGCTGAGTCTGCATGTGCCCAGCAAGCTCTTTGAATCAATACAAGCTTTGAAAACAGGCTTTTGTTTGTGAAAACAAAGTCATGCTGATCCTAATTGGCTGAGGAATGAAACCAGGCGAAAAGGATTCCAATAACCCGTTTTTTTTTTTTTTTATTTCACTTTTTCTTTTTTAAACATGTGCTGCAGGGTTTGGAGGGTCATTTTGCGAAGTAAATCTCGACGAGTGCGAGTCAAAGCCGTGTCAGAACGGTGGGATTTGTGTGGACGGCACTGACCTGTATCAGTGCTTGTGCTTACAGGGTAAGTTGCGATGCAATTATATCCCCCAGTAGTTGAGATGATACGATTACGTGGCTAATTCAGACCTTTGTTGGTTTTTAAGTGCGCAACCAACCGATTCCAGCCCTGAAGTTATAACCCTGGCTTAAATGAAAAAGCTATCCAGAAACACTTAAACGCTCATTCTTTTTCCATTCTGCCGTCTGGAGGTCTTTTCCTTAGTTCTGTGGATAGATGCAGATGAAAAGACACTGAGTTATGTATCCGCCGCAGCAACTAGTCAAATAACCAAGCAAGGCCTTTTATTTGTCGTTTTAGTTCACCACCTTACGTGCAAAAACCTTGTCAGAAAATGAATTAAGCCACAACCTTTACTCTTCCCTTCCAGAAATAAACCCCGATCAGTCATTCCACCCACAGCAACTAAAGATGGAAATCCATTATAGACAATATGAATTCTGCACACTTATCAGCATCTAGTTTATTTTCAGATTTTGAGTACATCAGTGTCTGTTCATATCCATGAACTGATTCGACGTAGTTTTACAATCTACAATAGATCCATCATGGTTTCTTTTTGGAATCAAAAAGGAAAATATGTAGCCTAAGAAACTGGAGATTGGTTTTTATTCATTTCAACAATTAACTACTCTAACCCAATTTCTCCAAAACTCTCCACTCAAGAACTTATTAATGCATAAAATGAATAGAAACATTCCCCAGAATACTTTCCTCTGCTAAAAAAAATCTTTTCAGTATTCCAGAATAATAGAAAGAATAATGATAATAATAAAAAAAATTACGTTCAGTTTTTTTTTATTAGGCCATTGCTCTCAAATGAAGACAATAATTTTTACACAATGTTCAGTACAGACAATGTCTTATGTCTAGACTCTGTTAGGGTTAAATCTGTCTATCTTCTTTAGAATGTACAAGGACTTGATTTTAGAACAACTGGGCGGGATTTGTGGTCAACATCATGTATTTAGATTAGATTAGATTAAACTTTATTGTCACTACACATGTACAAGGACAAAGCAACAAAATGCAGTTAGCATCTAACTAGAAGTGCAATAATGTAGAGTATTTAGTACAGATATATTGTTAGAAAAAGAAAAACGTGATTTCTGTACAGTCAAGCAGTGTAAATAATGAACTGAATTATATCCTAATCAAACACAACAGGTGATCTGGCCGATTAGCACAATCTGAGCTAAAAAGCAGGAACCAATTAATTAACTTGCTTGCTTGGAATTAAAACTGCATACACTCGACAAAAGCCGTTTTTCTGTCATATGATGCTGATTGTTCTCTTTGCTCGTGATGCTTTTCATTGACACATTTTCTCACGGGGCTTCAGGACTCAAACGGTTAACAAATATTTGCTCGGATTTGTCAGATCACATAAAACCGTTCCATCAGAAATTGTCATTTGCATCACTAGTGCAAGAAGGAATAAATCGCAGCTATTTTTTCAATAATTTCTTGGTCCAGTTGACATCTTACCTGTGAGACATACTTCTGATTAAACCTTGATTGCGGGTGAAGCCTGTTATGCATTTTTAATGAAGTCAGGATAATTGTCAAATTTTATGACTTGGAGAGAGGTGGAAATTGGTTCCATGGTCAGTTTGAGAAATGATGAGAATTTGACCTGCACCGATGGTGCTGATAGCCAAGCATTAGTCATGGGCCTCCTGTAGCTGCAGTATGTGACAGTGCTAATGATAGTCATTTTGTAGCGTGACCATGCAGTGGAATATATTTATGGGGGACTAAAATGTCAGAAATTGGCAGCACTCACTTTTACTTGATGACTTTAACCTTTTATTTCTAAAATATCAAATGTGCTGATATAACTTAGAATTAATCACCATGGAAAAAAATAAAATATAATAATCAGGTAGGCTCACGGTATAAAAAATACATCTTGTTTCCTCAAATGCAGGCTGAGGTGCAGTCTAGTCTCCACCATGTGTTGCTGTAGCTGTGATGAGCTCGCTTGTAAAATTTCACAACAGCAATAAATTGCTTTGGGGTGTAATTTGATCCTAATTTGTATCTTTTCACGTCTGGTGTTTACTGACATTCATACACCATCTCTGATGAGATGCTTTTCTTTTTTTTTTTTTGTCTTCATACCAGGGTTTGGTGGGTTGAGCTGTGAAATCAACTATGATGAATGCGTCCATGGATACTGTGCCAATAATTCCACATGTATTGACCTGGTTGCAGACTATGAGTGCATCTGTCCTTCGGGCTTTGCCGGTGAGTTATTTTTGTTATTATTTTCATAGCAGTCTTTAATGAATGTAGCGTAGACAGATGACCCTTAAGCAATGATAACCATCAAAGTGTCTTCATGCGTAATGTAAGAGCTCATTCACCAGTTGCAGAATGACAGCAGCTCACTGAGGGTAGAGGTGTCAGTGTTTCTGCTTCTGTAGGCACTGAATAAAGATAATAAAGTATGCATCCAAAGATCGGATATGGGTTAAAAATCTCAAGAGAAAATAATAATAATGATAATAATAATTCATTTTATTTGTATAGCACTTTCCAAGAACTCAAAGACGCTTTACAGGATAAAAGCAATAAACAATAACCAACTAATACAAAAGTAGTCAACATAGAAATACAGCAAGCAGATAAAAACAACACTAAATATCAAGACAAAGGCCTAGGTGGGAAAAGCATAGCGGAACAGGGGAATTTTTTAATTTACATTTGAATATTACTGGGTCTGTGGTGTCACGAATATGTGGGTGAGGGTGGCGACAGAAAAGGCCCTGTCCTCCCAGGCTCGGTGCTTGGTCCTGGGAATGATCAAGAGGTTGGCCTTAGCGGGGCGGAGGGTGCATGAAGGGGTGCAGGGGTGGCATGTCTTTTACTATCTTTTACTAAGCAAAGAAACATTTATTTTGTTTTACAGGTGGTATTATTTTTGTAGTCATATAAGTCCCTCTTGTTAGTTATTTATGTACATATTTACAAACAGAATAGAACTTAAATAAGCTAAACAAAGAAATACTAAATAATGATATACCCGTGTCAAAGCCCCTCTTCCTCCCCACGTGAAAACCAGATTTTTATACAGCTTTTTAAACCTGGTCGTGCTTGGACATTGCTTGAGCTCCACCTCCAATCTGTTCCACATCCTCACTCCACATACCCAAAGACTTGAGTGTTATACCTTCATTGTCACCATCATGTATGTATGTTAAGCTGTAGTAGCAAAGAAAATCCAAACACATTTGTAGTACTTTGACACTAAATGGCCTTTATCTGTGAAAAGAAACTCTGATGGACATGACAGTTCTACTGCAGTGTCGCACCTACTTCTTCTCCATTACTTAACACATGCACACTTCATATCACAGCACTTCATGTCAAGCTAATGGCTGCTCCTCTCTGCAGTCAGAATCATTTGTATGACACGCCGCTGGGACATGTGGTTATGTCAGCGAAGCGGTCTTTTCTCTTGCTTTGTGTTCGACTTCATGAACATGAATTAACAACCTCATCATTTACTTCTCAGGGAAGAATTGCTCCGTATCCGACTCTGCATGCGCATCAGATGTGGAGCTCTGCAAAAACGGAGGAACCTGCTCGCACACCTTAACCGGGGAAATACAGTGTATTTGCCCTCCAGGTATTAAACAAACATTTTTCTACAATGGATTTGTGCGAATTTGTTAACCTTAATCTTTGTGTTGATATATGGATCAAGCTTAGCGTTTGCTCTTTATTCAATGCTGCAGTCATTCATCTAGAAAGGCATCAGTGTGTTCAGTAAAAGTAATTCTAAGCCAGATAATCATTATAATCACACAGAGCCATGTGCTCTTCTTGCTTAATTGTACATCAATCCCTTTTGTAAATTCAGCCGTGTGCATGTGAAAACATATTAGTGCTGTTGATTACTGTGGAATCAGCAACACAGCTTTCACCTCTAAGTGAATGCCATTAGAAAGCACATGTGCAAATCCGTAAATTACTTACAATGCCACACTCTACGGCGTTGCTTTTTCTTTTTTCTTTGTGCTGTAGGTTGTGTACCGTTGCTGAAATCCTTCCTTGGTGTTAGTGTTTTGTGTTGAGGCTGGGTGAATTATGTAAATCAGCGGGGACCAAAAACTCTGGCAACGAGAGCACTACGTGAAATCACAATCTGTGATTTTTGCCAGATGTGAGAATGCGTAAAGATACTGTACGCGGCGCAACGCATCAGTCACTCCTTTGATCCCACCTCTTACAGGATACCATGGCAAAGACTGCTCCTCGTCTGAGAGCCAATGTGTGTCAAATCCTTGCAACCCTGAGGGGTCTGTCCTCTGCGTGGAGCTGGAAAATACTTATAGATGTGTGTGTCAACACGGCTACACTGGGCTGCACTGCGAAACACCTATAAACCGCTGCGTCGAAGGCCTGTGTCAGCACGGCTCGCTGTGTGTGGATATACCAGGAGGCTTCGAGTGTGATTGTTTAGCAGGTGGGTTCAGCGCCCAGCAGGGGCTTGTTTCAAATGGAGACGTTTCCATGAATGAATCATCAGCAGCGGCACTTCCGGTTGGATGCTTTCGTTTTCTCAGTTTTCTTTTCCGTGGGAGTCGAATCTCTCACTCTGAAATGACAGTTATTACCTAATACTCTCAAGCTGACAGATACATCGTAACCTTTAAAAAAGGAAAAAACATAATTACATATTATGGGACAATGTGTAATAATTCACATGTAAGTACAGCTATTTGCAGTAACTACCACTAGTGCCCATGAATAAGTTGTATAAAAGACTTTTTTTTTCTTAGCAATAACTGCCTAATTGCATTGCTAAGTAGTGTGCCTCTTGAAATATAGTGTAATAAGATTCTCACTTTATTAATATACCTTTCTAATTTTGGGTTATGATTATAAGAAATATTTCATAAAACATTTCCAGGGTTGAGAAGTAGGCTTGAGCACATTCATAGCCTTTTAATGAGCAAATATGCTAACGTCTCTTTGTCAGAGTAAAAATTGGACAAAGCCATGAGGCAACATATATATCTAACCTAATTTTGCTGTACAGTTTTTAACGGATAATTGATTGAACAGGGCTTCAAATCCAAAGGTTGAAGTTTCCATTATCAGTGTCCACACTCCCCAATCCCAGAAAACACAGAAACACAGGCCTCTCTTGAGAAGTAGAAGTACAAAGAAAAAGAGTCAGAACAAAAATCTGTCAAAGGAGACAACCTAAAGGAAACATGACAAGTCGAGTAATTTATTACGTTAGAGGGCTAACATGATGCCAAAGACAAAACAGACCACTCTCAAAGTTACAAGGTGCGAAAGTACAGCTATAAATACCTGTCAGATTTGACAACTTCGAGGAAACATGACAAATTCAGTCCACTTTGACTCTGATTAAGACGCAGCGGTGTTGAAGTGAACAGTCTGTTTGCACAATAAAAAACTATGAGTTAAGCAGTGTGTTCCAGCCACCTATTGTATTTTGACCTCGGGCTTAGAAGCATCTGCTTGAGCAACATTTTAGTGAAAGATGCGCAAGAACCATATTTCTAATACATTTTCATATCAAATGGCATGCACCTAGTGTGTACTGTAATGAGTGTTAAGTGGCTGTCATGGTCACTATGAAGTGGACTGTTCTTATTAGAAGATCAAACCAATAGATCAGTTGAAATGCACAGTGGACCAGTTTGTAACAAGCCTCCAACCACACATTAGTCTGTGCATGACACACTTCTAGAGTAGTGGGAAAAAAAAGTTTTCAGACTCCCTTAAAATTGTCAAAAGTGTCAAATATTATCATGAAATATTGGTAGAAAAATCTTTTTCGTGCTTCAAATGGTGTGGCTGCATTAGACAGACAAAACACTTTATTGTTTACAAGAAAAACTAACAAAACTAAATTCTTCACAGTTTCAGTATGTCAGTTCTCAACATTGCTGGTATCAAAGTCAACAAATAGCAGAGAATGTGTTCAAAACTGAACAAAAAAATAAATAAACCATCACATCATCAAATTAATGACCACTCTAAGACCTGGATACTGTGCTCCTGCAGCCAAGTTCTGCTGGCCCTGGATGTGTGGTAAGAGGCATTATCTCGTTGAAACATCCAGTTTTGACCTCGATGGAACAGTGCACATGCAGAAGGGAGCATGTAGAAACATGCATCACATGCTTGTATGTGCACCCATGCCACCCTGGACACAAACAGCAGCATTCTCAAAAACTTCGTAGAACTTCTAGTGATCCAAAAACTCCTTTACTTACTTCAGTCATTACTTTAATTATTTAAATATTGGGTTTAATATCTGAATACTTAAGTGTTTACCTGATGGCTCTTCTATGGCTCCCTAAGTTTTAAGGCTCCATTTAAATAGTTGTTTTTCATTAATAATACAACAAGAAAGTGTAGATTTTGTTACTTGCTCGCTGCAGTTATTAAGCAGTAAACATATGATCATTGCTAGAGATTCTTCTTAAGCAGTCTCATAAAATATCTCAAGGGGACAACTTTAAAGGAATGCTATCTGAAATGGAGAAATTCCGTGGAACATCTTGTCCTCTCTCCGAAGGTTTAACGGGCCAGTTCTGCGAGATAAACATTGATGACTGTGAAGGAGAGCCGTGTGGAGTCCTGAGTATTTGTAAAGACGCTCTGAATGGCTACAATTGCTTCTGTGCACCTGGATTTATTGGTAAGTGAAAGCTATCTTGAAGTTATTCTTTGTGAGTTAAAGTGGGGATTTTATTCACAGAGGCAATTTGTCAACATGTTGTGCTCCTTTCATACTTTTCGTAGGAAATAAGTGTGAGATTGAAGTGAATGAATGTCTCAGCCAGCCTTGTCGAAATGGAGGCTCCTGCATAGATGAGCTCGACTCATTCAGCTGCCAGTGTCCTCTCGGGATCACAGGTATTTTGTGTGCTTCTTACCGTGAATGCTCAAATTTGAATGTGGCGATTGTAAATAATACTTTGAAAGTGTGTGAGTGAATCAGCTTTGTATTAATTAAAAATACATGTGTGTGTGTTGATGTATGCAGTGCTTAACAAATGTATTGGACCACCTGTCTAATTTGTTAAGCACTGTACATACAGTATATATAACCCAACCAGCATCATGAAGTGCTTTAATTCGCACTCAGCTCTCTACGGTTTACCATTTTGAACAGGAATGAAATATTTCAAACTGAATTCACCTTTTTATACCCAAATCTGTGCCACTGGGCTTCTCTGAGAAGTCACAAATGAATCAAGCACAACATTTGACCACTAAAACTATGTTTTCTGTTTAGGAATGCAAGTAAATAACTATAATTTAACATCTTAATCAAGAAGTAATCATGTGCTTTACTATTTTCTTTTTCCATTTTTTTTGGTAAAACAGTAAATTTAAAAATTCATGGATAACAATAATATTTATATTTTAGCATTGAAAATATTTGGTTAAAGAGCTTCTACATACTGGTATAATATCCATTACAGAAACATAGAAAATGATTTTGGCAATTACCGATGCTGTTAATTTAGGGCAGCTGTGGCGTAAACCTTACATTGGTTGGTGATTTAATGCATTTGTCAGGAACTGTATATGTAATATTACTAAATAACCCTCAGATAAACCACATAAAAGCAGCTACAAATGATGCATTTGGTTTTCATAGTACTTGAAACATCCTTATGTCAGGTAGTTTGACCTTAATGCAGTAATAAAGACTTGTTTTCTAAGAGTTCCAGTTGTGCCTTAACAGTATGTGTCCATACAGGCTTTTTGTACTTTGGATCTAAAAGCCTGCATGGGCTCACTTGTGATGCCTGTTTGCAGTCTGTTTGGCTCAGATCACTTAGTATTTCCATGCCAATCAAACCGCAGCTCTTAAAGTATAAACCACATACTGTCACATGGAATATCTTACTAATGCAGCATAAACATTATTGCAAGATGTTATATAGAACATTTAGCTTCAACCTTCTTTCTGTATATGTTTAAATCATGTAAAGGTACCTGCTCGAGCATTCATTAAGCAGTTTGATTTTTTTTGGTGGCGGGGGGAAGCATGGTTGGCTGTGATCAGATTTCTAGAAAATCAAAGAGTCAAGAGCTCTCTGCCCCCAGCTGAACTGTGGAAATGATATTAAAGTGCATAAACCTTTACAGGCTTGAGGCTGGATCTGACAAGTTTCACTCAGTGTGCTTAATGTTTTATAGCCGTAGCTTATGCGCCATGTTTCTTTAAAACTACAACTAATGCAGAACTGTAGTAATGGAAAGGTTTGCTTTCCACTTGCTGTTGCTCTGCGCCTTTTTTTTTTTCTTCAGGATTTATGGCAGCAAACATTTTTTGATTACATTCCATTCAACCTTGATGCGTCACAATAGTGGAAATCTTCTTACTGAGAAACAGCAGCAGAGAAGCCACAGAAATTCCACCAGGACAATATTTTTTATTTGACATGGAAAATGGCTATTTCTGCTCGTGGCGGTTGATGTGTTTAATCTAGCAGGATGTGAGATTAAACACAGACGTAGTGTGTCCTCTGTATATAGTTTAAATTCTGAACAAAAAGTCAAAATAAATTGAAAATGTGGAACAGCATGTATATGTTTCAGTCATGTGTCATTCATAACCCACATTTCTTTTATGACATTTACGAATTCTATTGAATTCCAGCAGCCTAAAGGTGAATCTATGAATACAGAAGTGTTAAGTGAAATGAGCAAAACTGTAGCTATTGGTTCACTTTAACTATCCTTATCAGAAGTAGGTATTAAAAAAAAAAATCATTTCCATCCTCAGGGTAGGGCCAGAGCAGTGTTTATCCCTGTGGAGGCTTCAGTATTTCAATGAAATGTCTTAGCAATTAAGTTACCCCTCTGTGCAAGTGGAAGTTATAAATATGGGTCTCACAAACTCATAAGATCTACCGGCATTTCTCTCCGCACATTTAATCTCAGTACCTTTTAGGCAACATTGACTTATTTGCCTGAACTTGAATCCGGTCGACAATTTGTGAATTGTACAAAATACACAACTGAAAAGAGTTATTCTCTGGGGAACACTAGTTCACCAGTTAATATCATAGCAATCTAAGGAATAGAAAGAAAAATCTGTTCAAGAAAAGATAGTGGTTTGACCAAAATAATCACAAATTCTCTTCTTCCAAACATACACTCATCTCAGATGTAATAGTAATGAATTAAACAGTCAATGACCTATTTTCTTGCCGTCTAAACAGATCTAAATTGCATGCTTCAATCTTGTTGCCTTTGGAAGAAAAGTTCATTCAATACAACTAATTTCATTCATTTAAAACCTCAAACAACACATTGAGGTACAACAACAGTTATACAATAGATGCAGACACACTTAAAATTAGATTGCATTAAGTAAATAATACTTTATATCAGGTAGAGACAAAATTTATCGATGCTGAAAAGTGTAGGAATGAACAATAACAACACTGAAGAAACTGAATTGTTGGACCAACGTAAATGAATTGCTTCAGTTGGTAACACCCAAGTTTATCCAAAATAAGTAATAAGAAGTAGTAGTGTAAGTAATATTAATGCCAGTTGTTTAAGTTAAATGTACTTAAATTAGTTTATTCTTCTCAAGGAGATAAACTACATTACAACAGCTTCATTTTTAGCAAAGGGAACTTGAAGGTTCCAATTTCTCCAACTTACGTATTTGCTTTATCCAAATGCAAAACATGACTTTGTCTTTAGACTTACGAGTCTTTTCTTGTCTTTACTCTGAAATCTGACTTGACTACAACATTAATTAAGTCACAGCAGAAACTGAAAGAAACTAGAACTTCATGATGTCAGACTCCAATGCTAAAGGAGCAATAAAATTAATTTTGGCGCTTTTGCTGAAGTTAGAATACCAGTTCAAAGGGACAAAATGTAATTTCAAGTTGATAGAATCTACAAACATATACTGGCTTCACCAAAACAAAAAGATAAATGAGGTTAATTTGAAACGGTGCTTTATTTCAACTACAGCTCAGATACATGCCTTGCAGTGAATGAGACAAAACAAAGCAAAAAAAGAACAATAAAAGTAACCGTTTTGTTTCAAAGCAATAGCAATTACAGTCAATAAAATCAGCAATTAACACTGGAATTGTCTCAGCGCTATTAATGAGGTCAACTTAAAGTTTTGTTAGTCAAAGCATGTGAAGCACCAGGAAACAACAAAAAAGCAGATCTTTCCAACTCCGTATGAATTTTTAGCACGTGCGAGGTGAGCCGTGTCTGTGAAGGAGTGATGTGATGTCTGCTAAGAATCCGAGAGAGCAGGGCTGAAGGATGGGTGGGGAGCTTTTGTAAAATATCTTTATAAATAAATAAAAACAAACGCTGTTCCTTCCTCACTGACAGGGCAGGCAAGCCACTTTTATGATATAGTAGGTGTGTTCCATATTCCATATCTCCAGTGATGAACCGTGAGGCAGAGGGATACGCTGCATCTAAAGGTTCGAGGGTGGAATAATATGATGAGGAGGAAGTCTCTCCCCTCTCCATGCTGGGGTTTCTGGAGATATTTCTAATAGTGTATATGCATAATTAAACATATTCTTAATGGCTGTGTTCGCTGTTCAGAAACCGCTCTATTTCATCAGTGGAATCGGAGAAATCTCGGAGAGTGTTTTTGCGGATAGATCGGCTTATTTTTGGCCACGCTGACCATCAGTACGAACACCACGAGGACACCGGCGTGTCAACACTTACCTCCCACAAACCTTCAGGCCACAACCGCACGAGGTTATAGAACAAGCTCCGTCGTTTCTGGTGTTAGAAGAGCAACACAAACAGTACACTGTAATTACACAGAATGTTGTTGTAATTCAAAGACCCATTATCACTTTGGCATTTCACACCATGTAACAGCCTCCTCTAAAGCTTACAGAGACTGTAAATGTGCGAAACCGTGATAGTGCAAAAAAAAAAGAAAAGAAACATCTCGTGGCTGCTTTGTTTGTGTGCTGCTGATCTGCTTTGTGCTTTCAGAGAAAGGAGGGAAAACCAGGAGAATAATCTATGTTCTGTATTACATGAACTATTCTTAATGTCATTTACAATTTAGGTGAATATAAATGAATTATGCATGTGTGTTTTATAGAGGACCAGGAAGTTGTTTTTCTGTTAAAACTTTGACATCTGGATTTGAAGCTGGTGAATATTTACAAAAAATATGCTGGTGTCAAGTTAATTTTGCTTGCATAACAGTAATCAAATGTTTTTTTTTTCTTTTTTACATCTGTGGTGCAAGATGTGCATGGAATTGTGTTTGAATAGACTACAACCAAGGATTTTCCCCCCCGTCACCAGTCATCAGATTTCTCCATGTACAGGCTTTAATCCCAATACAACATGTTTTACTAAGTTGACAGAAAATGGGAAAACTCTGCATAAGTCATACAGTTCTGACAAATCACATGTACCTTATCTGTAACACGGCACTTACTTGACACTTGAAACCGCTGCTTCTCTTAAATCCCATGTTATTACAGGCGACTACTGTGAAGTCAACGTAAACGAGTGCGTGTCGTCCCCCTGCCTGCACAACGCCACGTGTGTGGATCTTGTTCACGGCTATGGATGCGTCTGCATGCCTGGTTTTACAGGTTAGTGAATGCACTTAATGTAAATATTTGTAATTTAGGTGTTTGTTTTCACCAGAACGAAATGCATGGCGTGGATGTAGCTTCTACCAATACAAACCCGTGTTAATAGCATCTTACATAAATATATGGAATTATCCAGTACTTATTTTGTGTCTTGTATTCTAATACAGAGTGTGCTTGGTTGTCTGTCTCCAAGTGTAGCCCTTTGATAGACTGGCGACCTGTCCAGGGTGTCCCCTGCCTTCACCCTCAGTCAGCTGGGATAGACTCCAGCCCCCCACGACCCTAGTGAGGATTAAGACAAGTATAGATAATGGATGGATGGATGGATATTCTAATACAAATCAAAGCATGGTAGCATCAAAGCATCACCATGTCTCTGTGGTTGAACAGATATTAAACTGGTGTAATGACTACATTATACAACACAGGTTGTATTTACATTCTGCACAATCCATTTAAACATAAAAGCATGTTTTTAACAAGACCAAAGGTGTACACTCTCGCTAGTGGTTCTGTGAGGTTTTATTTTAGCAGGATTGCGCTTCAAGCTAAATGCCAACATCCATCCATCCATTATCTATAAACCGCTTAATCCTCACCAGGGTCACAGGAGGGCTGGAGCCTATCCCAGCCAACTTAGGGTGAAGGCAGGGGACACCCTGGACAGGTCACCAGTCTATCACAGGGCTACACTTACAGTCAGACAACCAAGCACACTCACATTCACACCGACAGACAATTTAGGATCACCAATTAACCTCAACATGTTTTTGGACTGTGTGGGAGGAAGCCGGAGAACCCGAAGAGAACCCACGCTGCACGGGGAGAACATGCAAACTCCTAAATGCTAGCATGTAGATATAGTTTTAGTTTAGGAGGCCGTCATAACACCGTTTACAAATGAGCAGCAGTAGTGCCTCAGTGCTACCTACATATGCTGACTTACATTTAGAAAAACGATTGCTTTTCTCATGCTCTTTGTATGTCCCCAATTAAAACAGCCTATCCCGACAACAACATCTTTATTCATGAATTATGTATTGCTGTTGCAACAAAGTGAAGTCAGGAGCAATCACCTAAGTAGACTAACACTTGCACATGTTTTGAAGTCTTGACGGATAATTTTTTTTGGTCTGTGTTCGGTGCAGTGATGCCCACTGTTTACAGCACAAAGACGACTCTAGATTAAACCAAAGATCAGGCATTTCCACTCTTGAAAGTCAAACACAGTAATGGCTTTTTGAACAGTTTCCTAACAATCGTTAATAGTTCCCACAGAGCAGGATTCACAGTGCATTACCAACAATAGGGGAGGGTGCAGGGCTGAATCTTATGATCACAAAGGAGCTGGTTTTCTCAAATCTATTTTTCAATGCTAAAAGATAATGAGTTTTTTTTTAAGTATGTTTTCTTTTGAGTGTTTAGAAAATTTATATGAAATAGATTGAGGATGTTCTTTGCTGTTCCTTGTATTTTGTTGCAGCACCACAGGGAACCCTCTCAGGTATCACAGCCGTATTCAGCACTTCAGTGTGCGATCATGAGCTTTTCAGTTCTCTGTCTGAGTGGTATTATAAGGCCTGCATCTTCAGAAAAAAAAAAACTCATTTGCAAAAACCCCTAATTATTTCAGGTTCATGTTGTTTATCCAAGACATTCAACTTCTGTTTATGCTCAGATGAAAGATTAATCTAAAGTGATTGTAACAAGCCTGAACTGCATCATAGCCGATGGAACGGAGCAGCCCGGCTTCTGTCCTGACTCAACTCACAGCCCATCAAGTGATGTGTTCTGTGATTAAAATTGTGGTTTAATTGCCAAAGATTTATGTCAGTCACCCTTCCGTATAACATATTTATCAATTTGTGTTCTTTTCTGTCAAAGGTACAAAATGTGAGGTTGACATTGATGAGTGTGCTTCATCTCCCTGCAAGAATGGAGCCACTTGCATTGACCAGCCTGGTAATTACTTCTGCCAGTGTGTGGCTCCGTTTAAAGGTAATGAGCACTGAGGGAATGGGGACAAAAAGCAAAGTTAATTAACTTCACATACTATTATTTTCACCTGTCTGAACTCGCTTCACATGTCTCAACAAAATTAGTACATCTTCATTTGCTACCTGCAGTTGAATAAGGAAAGTTTGAGTAATTAGCGAGATGTAAACTGGTGCCGGTGCTTCTGCCACACCAGAGACGACTTGTAATCGCTCGGTCTGTCAGTGTTTGGCATTATCGGTGTACATCAATAGGTAGACGATGCTGATGTGTGAGTTGAGTTTTTTTATTTCCACAATTTAAGACCATAATGAAGGAATTATCGGTGTTTGTATCCGAATAGTGAATATCGTTTTCATACTCACGTTTAATCATAGCATCACTTGTGAAAGTAAAATTCCAATATTCTAGCTTTATATTGTATTTGTCTCCAAATACATTAATTTATGATAAGTTTACAGTACACCTTGTATAATCAGTGGTAAATTATTTTTTACTCTAAGTGTTTTTATATTATATTATTATGGATATATGAAAAACTAATTTACAAGTTTGGTTTTCCAGGTTTAATAAAATAAGAATTACTGTTGAAAAGTAGAATATAATCAGTTGTCGTATATTTATACGGTAAAGTGACTTACAATTCTACTGTTCTGCACATAACCAAATAATTAAAGATATAGCAATTATAATAAGAAACCTACATAGATATAATTCTTTTTTATTGTTTTATAGATATGATTTACACCCACACAAGTTGTCATTTTTTTTGGAGCTTCGTGGTTGACTGTGCATGTTGGAGAAGAGCCTCTCCAATGAAGCTTAAAGAACAGTTGGGAGATAAAAATTCTCGTGGTGGGATTTCACAGGAACACAAAACCGTAAATCAATAATAAATGCGAAATAAAAAGCATTCTTCATCTAGCCTTTTCCTAGACACGCTCATCCTAACAAACCGAGCAACCAGTCAAGAAGGACCTTGGTCAAACCCCAAGGACCTTTCTGACAGATCTAATGAGCTCATTGGCTGTGAGATCTTCCTGGAAGGACAACAGTCAGGGCAGCACTTTACAAATCCAGGCTTTACAGCAGAGTGGTCAGAAAGGAAATGACTCCTGAAAAAAGGCGGACAAAATTTACGGAGAAGTACTTCAAAGACACACTGACAGTGTAAGGAGGAAGAATTCAGAGCTCTGATGAAAATGAAAATGGAAGTCTTCAGCTGTAATTCAAAGGATAATAGAAGTATGGCAGAAATGAGGCACAGCTGATTACCCATCTAACACCATTTTTACTTCTGTAAGGTGTTGTAGTGGCCACTTCATGATGCGGTAGCTCTTGTGCTGCCAAAGAATATAAGGCGCTATACATAAAACCATCTACTGAAGTAAACTCTGAGAGCATCTGCCTCAGAGTACCAGTAATGAGTGAACAGTCTGCTGTATTTTACCTATTTGGGATCTTTAAAGCCATAAAGCAAAGATTTCTGTGCGTGATATTTGCCATACCTGATCTGCACAACTAACTTTGTAGCTGAGGCTTTAAGCTGATTCAATGTTTGTTTGGTTTTTTTTCCCTTTAATCAATTAATTACTTCATGCAGCTTTAATATTACCCACTTATACAAAGACCAGCTGACTACTTTGAAATCATTAAGTTATTGACAGCAACGTCTTTCTCAAGGAAAGTAACTATTGCTTTGTCACGAAGAAGCAGAACGTATCAATGATAAACTGTACTATTGTTTACAGTGCACTGTGTTAATGGCAAGCTGATATTTTACATCAGAATTCAATATCTCTACCAAATTTTGAGGTAATGAGGTGATGTAGTCAGAACTAAACTTTCTGAACTTGTCAGATCTTTTAATTACTTGTAGGTCAACCAGCTGAGACTTCTGCTGGCTCAGCCGAAAGCCCAACTGTGACTCACTTAAAGTCAGATCAAAGCAAACCAATTGGATTCAGCAGTTTTTCATACAAATACACAGCAGATTTCAACAACATTTTTTGCTCCTTGTGTTTTCCGTGTGACCGTTTTGCAGAAATTATCAGAGGTAGGACACATAACCTCTGTGTTATGTCTAGTTTTGCATGTTCTTCACTTCATTATGATCATTTGTGTGTGCATGATTTCTTTCTTTTTCTTCATGTTTTTCTTCTGTTCACTCTTTAGCAGATGGTTGCTTCATGCATGACCCGCCTGTAATGATGTTTGGCACTTTAATTTGTCTGGATAGTTCTGGCACTTTTCTGAAACAAGTGATGGTTAAGTGACACAAAAAGTAGCACAAACCATAATATTCAATTGCACATTAGTAATGGAACTGAGTGCCTGGCAGCCACAGGTGTGCTTTTATCTGTAGTTTTAATCAGCATGGTGCATGATTGCATGTACTGAGACTATTCATTTGGTAATTGTTTTTGAACAAGCAGAAAGTGTGTTTTTATTATTTATTATATTGTAGGTACTGTAATTACATTTTAAATGTTCAGCCAGTGAAATGGAGTGTTTAATATACGTGAGGATAATATGTGATTGCGAATATTTATTTATTTTTTTTGGATCTTACTCACTTTGTTCATTCATAGACTTAAAGAGGAAAGTGCCGTACGGAGAACGGGGAAAGATTTGCAAGAAATCAGAATGCAGTGATTTTTAATGAAGACATGCATCCGCTCCCACTGATTCACTTTTGAGATATCCCATCTGTCTTTCTGTTGATTTGTTTGTCTCTCTGTCCAATGAGTAAGTTTGACACAGCATGCAATCTGCTGCAAGGACAGGTTCAAGGGAATATACAATATGGGTTTAATATTTAATATCCTCAGGCCTACAGTTCTATTGTATTTCTGCAGAGATTCTTGTTTCCTGGAAGGTGTTTTCTACGTGTGTTTCTCTGCCTCGCTCCAGGTCATAATTGTGAGTTCTTACCCTGCGAAGCCAGTAATCCTTGCGAGAATGGCGCAGTGTGCGTGGAAGAGTTGGATCAGGACCATTTTCCTTTGGGTTTCCGCTGTCACTGTCGCCGGGGCTTCACGGGCCCCCGCTGTGAAATCAATGTGGATGAGTGCAGCTCCAGCCCCTGTTTTCACGGCTTCTGCTATGATGGTAAGAAACGGGCCTCGCTCGCCAGCATTCTTAAGAACAGGCATCAAGATGGAAAAACCTCCACACTGGCATTCAAACGCCCGAGCCAATATTTCTAATTTTGTCTCGCTGACTTACAGTCTGACAGGCAGTTTGCAACAGGGTCACCATTGCAGTTAATATGGGTTTTATGAGAGTAGAGTCATCCATCTGATATGAGGATCTTGGACGCTGCTGGCTGGCATACACTTGATTAGCTCCTTAACGTGTCTGTCAAAGGAAATCAATTAAGCATCAATGCTGCGTTATAATTTGAGTAATGGATGGTGAATGACAAAATGTGTATGATTAATCTGCTTTTACCCCTATGGATCCATCGCTAGCTTGAATAAGTTTAAAGAACTCATTGATCAAAAGTAATGAAAATAATTAACTATGCGTAATAAAAACAGTTAAGGTGTCTTTATCACACACTGATCAATGACTATAAATGTGTATGATGTGTTTTGTTATAGAATACATACAATTGCTGTGTACCAGTCTTGCAGAAAGAGCAGTTTCTCTCAGCAGCATAATGTTTGTACTCTTCAACCTTCATGGGATTTCTGACATCCTGCCAGGGTTGTTTCTACTAGGTTATGCTGCAACAAACCGTCGATGGCAGTGGATCACTATCGGTCCCTCGCATTACTACAGTAAAACTCGACCAGCTGTCTTGACTAATCTTGAGCATAGCCAGTTCACCTTAGGTTAGTGAGGCAGGCCTCCAGGACCTATTGGCCGGTGCTCAGCAGCAGCCGGGGGAGCCACCAGGGACAGCACTGCATAGCCACAGTGGCTGAGATGAGTAATGCTGCTGCCACCCAGGACCTAAAGCATTTAATGAGAGTAATAGCATCTACACGCACCAAGACAGAGTGACAGCATAGATTACGTGGTAAATCTTTGGGATAATGAAGAATCCTGGGACCCTGACTGGGGAAGTAATAAATTCACTCCTATAAGAACTGCAATTACCTCTGTCACTGGCTGCCTGTACCAGTGTTGTGTTGGAGAAACAGAATGATGCATCCCTCTTTAACATCATTAATAATTAAAGAGAGGAAGGAATGGATTATTAGACATGGGAGATTCGAATTTCTGATGGGAGAGATTGGCAGATTCGTAGCGTCTGAATAAAGAATAACCACTGGAAATGGGCTCTCTGCCACTATTGTACATTTTTCTTTCCCTCATTGAATGTGTTGCAAGCATGTTGAGAGAGTGGTAACGAGTGACAAGGCTGGCAGGCTATCATTGAAAAAGAAGGGGATAAGTCCAGATGGGAGACAAGGAAAGTAGTAGGAGAGAAAAGGACTGAATGGCCATCGCAGACAGGTTCATTTAAAGACGGTTAGCGTGTCAAGCCCTGTCAGACTAATGCACAAGGAGGTGACCTGCCACGTAGATTTGGCGACAACGGGTTTTACTGATACGGCATATGGGGCTGTATTTAATGGTCATATCCATTTGAAAAATGGAATCACAGTGGTGATTGTGCTTCATGTTCATAATCAGTCCTTACCTGTGTAGAGATGTTAGAGCCCACTGAGAGTTGAGTGAATTAATTCATGATGCAAGATGCTGTAACATTGCTCCTGATTTTCTTTTAGTTGTAGATGGCTTTTACTGCCTTTGCAGTCCTGGTTATGCTGGGCTGAGATGTGAGCAAGACATTGATGACTGTGTGAACAGTTTATGCAGTACCAACTCAGTATGTAAGGACCTTCATCTGGTAAGTAGACACATTCTTTTTCCTTTGGCAGTATAACTAAGTGATATTATGACATTTAAAAGGCTTAAAATGGCTCAATGCCGTGTAAATCACTACAGTGTGTAACTCTTCATAAAATATTGATAGACCTGAATCACATAAGTTACTGCATATTACCTTTGATGGCTGTTAAGCAGTTAATGTTTCAATGCGTTTCTGCTGCAGTAAACATGAACAAGTGGCCAATAACATGAATAGGGGTGTGTTATTGAAAATAATAAATGACGTCTACATGACTGGAGTCTACTCCAGGTCCGGTCAGGTTTGTAACACTGGAGGCAAAGATGGTTGAACCATTTTTGGTCTTAATGGAACATTCAGCATAAGGAGATGATTCAGGAGATGGGAAAAAATAATGCAGGAAAAAAACATGTCTAATTTCTAATAGATGATTGAATTTCCTAATAGACAAATTATGCCAATTACAGTATGCTATTTATGCCTTGTGGGCTGAGCTTTTGATGTAACATAATGACCAAAAGGCTACCAAAGTGTGCACTGAAACACAACATGGTTTGCAATGAACGCATTAAATATGAAATGAATGTCCATTCAAGTGGCTATTTTTGTAATCAGACGTCCAAAACAAAACATATTCCTCATACTTTGAATTAGCTATTAGACATCTTCGAAAAGGTTTATCTTTAGGATTAAAACATAGATCATAAAACACGTAGACATTAGTAGCTGGCAAGTCTTTATTTGCATTGTTGTACATCTGTTAGGTGAGTTTACATTGTGTAAACCCCTTTGCATATTGAAGATCTGCCCTTCTCAGCTTGCATAGACACCGGCGTGAAATTACAAATGCATATGTCAAATGTGAAGTGTTGTGAAAAAAAAAAAAAGCCACTCATAGACCATTTTAAGACCTTCTTTTTGCTAGGCGCACCTCTACTTCTGTAGTTATTCAAAGGTTTTTTAAGCCAATAACATTGATCTGTTGCAGCTGCAAAAAGGCCTTGGGAGCTGCATGCTGCTCACAAACTGTGCAATGAGTACCAGGGGCCTCTTTCCAACAGCTGCTTATTTGCTAACAGATTGTAGTAGTGAAACAGATGTGTCATAGATAAAGTCTTTGGCTTTGTTTATTTTTTTCTTTTTCTCCAAAAACTAAAGACTGTATAGTCAGCACCTATTGCTAGACTTAATATCCTCAAAATTACAGCATTATGCATGAAATCTTTTTTTTTTTTTGTCACTAAAACGAAATGTCAAACACAGAGCAGCGCGATAACGGAGCAGTTAGGGTGCATACCACATGAGCACAAACGCCGTCAGCGGTGAGTCCACAGTTCGATTTCCAGCTGGCCAGACCTTTTTGCTGCATGTCATCCCTCTGCTCTCCTTCCTCACATTTTCTGTCTCTCTTCTCTCTAATAAGCATAGAATGCCGCAAATTAATTTCTGTCAAGGTTCAATACCAAACTTAACTCTCCTAAAAGTAGCGTTAGGATTTTCAGGACTCAGATTGAAGAATAAGAGCGAAGATTTCAACCTGTGCCCTTGACCTTCCTCCATAGCAACTGCTCAATAGCATGCGGGCATGGACATTGATTTCTACAAAAACTAACTTCAGGCTTTCATTGATGACATTCCAGTGTTCATCCAGTTTTCAGTGTTTTTTTTTTTCCCCCTTTGGTAAGACAGCTATTGCAGCAATTTTAGGATAACTGAAGGACAAATGCTTATTTTTCCATTTTATTAAGTAGTTTACAAGTTACGGTTTGACAAGGTTTCACAGTTGTTGTGACACAACAGCATGGTTAAAACATTTCAGTATAATTTTCATTTTCTGGGATAAACTAAACTGTCTTCATTCAAAGACAAAAGGACACTGCATAAGAGGAGAGCGGGATCTGATATGAGGAATATAATGAAATTTCAAGCAATATTATTTTTCTTTACTCTGTTTCACCGCTATGTTTTTTTGTATTTTCTCAACTCATTATTCAAACAGCGCCAGTTTTTGGATACCCCCTTAACGTAGTCTTGTTTACAGTGTACCTATTCCTCTCTCTGAACACTGTGTCCCACAGAGCTTTAGCTTATTTTGGAGAATTGCAGTCCCTGAAGGTGACTTAGCAGCAAAAATGAGATTATGTTCTATTGCCAGGGGTAAGGAATTGGAGTCTCCTGGAGGTATCTAATTTATCACGAGATGACGGCATTTTTTTCCCCCCACGACCACAGAGCCTACAGTGTACAAATTATATCAGACAAAGTTTAACGGCTCCCCTCTAGTGTATGAAATAAAGATTAGCATGCATTCAACCAGAAGCACCCAGGACCTTTAGACAGGATGTTGGCAATGAGGATTCCTGAAAAACCCTTGACCATATGACTATCTTCATAATGTATGCAAAGAGGAATTTAAATTAAGCTGGCACCTTGGAAAGCAATGGACAACAAACCATTCATCTCCCATGCTTTGATTTATTATCGTAATGCAGATTGCAATGATGAAATAAAGGACAAGTTGTCCACATACTGCTCTAAAAGCAGGAGAGAAAAAAAATGAAGAGATTAGCAGCGTTACTGGCTATATATAAATCTCAATGTAAAGTAGTAACAGCATTTTCACTTGGAGAAAAAAAAAAAAAGAAACCCTGCCAAGTCTCAATCTAGCATGTTTTACACGTTTGAGTGCCTATGGAAATTCCACTTCACGCAGAATATGCGGTGGTAATATTATATGCTTGATAAAGGCTTGTACCGTATACTTTGAATGGCATGGAAAAAAACAGGCTTGCATGTTGTCCAGAGGGTGGGTGGTAGGAGGAATACATCTGCATAGAAGTAATATGAAAATGTAAGACAAGCATGACTCTTCACAGTTTAAACAGATTTCCACTGGAAAGATTTTTTTTTTTTTTGAGTAGGAGGTTTTATTCTACCATATTTTTTAAGAAAATTGGGATGGATTTAATCAAGTATATTAAGCATTGCAGTGTTTGTTTTCTAAAATGCAACAACTATAAATAAGTAAACAAACAAGTGCCGGAATGGAATCTGACTACTCCATAACTACGAATTAACTGCTTCGAATTGTATCATAAATGCTGTAAGTATCTAAAATAATGTTTACAGCAGACGTAAAGTGTCACTACATTTCAGCGCTAATCTAATTTCTTTTTTTGTGTGTGTGTGTGCTGCAGAGTTACGAGTGTGTGTGCCATTCCGGCTGGGAGGGGGAGCACTGCCAACGAGAAATTGATGAATGTTTATCACAGCCCTGCAAAAACAACGCCACCTGCACAGACCTTCTCAACAGCTACAAGTAGGTGTGCAAGCTGGCTCGAGGGCACTGTCCTCGCAAGGTGCATCGCTCACTTAATAAATGCAGGAAAAGAAGCTGTTCAGAGATAGCAATATGTCCTTCCACTGGCACCGGAGATAATGAATTGCAGATGGCAGGTAAAACAAATGAGTCAATCAATGGCTCACAGCATGAAAAGGTTTCAGGGGATCTGTGACTCATTGGAGGAAAAAGCTGGTGTATCTGCTTCGGCTAATGCCCCCACTCTCGCTGGGGAGACGTAAAACTGCTTCAGGTCGAAAAGTTGGGGGATGGAAAGGAATGCAAGGTGGAGTGGTTTGTAGTGCTCGGGTACTCACTGCCACCAAGTGGAATATTCACCTGCCTTAAGAGCAGATACTTCAGATTCCCACACACTCTCTGTTTCGCTATCCCCGTTTCTTTCACTTTCTCTCTCACTCTTTCTTTCTCTGTCTGTCTGTCTTGCATGCATACATTTCCATTTAATCCCCACTCAGCACTCTAACCTCCCGTGTCCTACATTCAGCTGTCCAGAATTAAAAGCTGCTCTGACCAGTAGTGCAATTAACCTGTAAATTTCCCACAGTGTCACACCGTGTCACTGTCTCCGGATGTGTTGTGAGAGCAATGCCAATACATGCACTGTAAAGCTGTGTGTAAAAAAAAAAAAAAGCATCCTGTAGGTCATTTGGATTTAAAAAAAACAAAATCATGCTGTAATTTATGTGCTCCTCTTCACAATACTGCTGCTATATCATTTTTTTTAGCATGATAATCCCAGAGAGTGCCACAAGCTTAGCCCCTAGAAAAACCACTAAATAAGTGTTTGTTTGTTTAAGGATTTATTTATATGATGTATGTAAATTTATGCCAGAATGACCTCTACAGTGGCCATATCTCCTCTCTGGTGTGTCCAAGGTGTTTGTGCTCACCGGGCTGGACAGGTGTGGACTGTGCCGAGGATGTGAATGAGTGTGATTCTGGGCCCTGTCTAAATGGAGCTCAGTGTCAGGAGTCAGACGTACCGGGGGAGTTCTCCTGCACCTGTCCCCCCTTCTTCAGTGGCCCCTTGTGCAACCAGCCTTATGACCCCTGTGACCCCTTCCACAATCCCTGCCTACACAACTCCACCTGCCTGACACGCTCCAATGGAACAGCCTCCTGCAGATGCCCAGCTGGTGAGTGAGCACACGGCCACAGTCTCATGATGCTTCTATTTTAGCCCCTTTTTCCCGAGCACAACCGCACCATCTTGCTGGGTGGTTTACTGTGAAATTTAAGCAATTCCCACCAAAAAAAATTACAAAAAGCATAATTTCAAAGAGAGAAGAGGGAAAAATATTCATGTCACAGCTAAGCATGCATCATTTCTATCTTCCCTCTGAAATGTACGAGTTTTTTCCCGAGAAGTTACTGTATCAACAGAGACAAAGAATGATTTCTCATGCATAAATTACATGTTGAACTATACTCCAGACACTGAAAGAAAATGTGCTACACAGTAACAGGAGGTTTCCCTGCAGGGATAATTTAAAATGATAAAATATATATTTTCCTAACCATGAAACGAGTGAGAAATATTCTCGGCTGCTATCTGGAGAAGAATTGGTCAGTGGTTGACTATGGGTCAAAGATATGGAATGTGGCTTGCCAGAAAGTTGGATTTGTATTGATTGTAGTACATTTCAGGGATTTTTACATGTCTCATTTTAATTTTTTGCAGAGCCGAATTATCACTAAACCCAGACAGGAATGATTTTTGGCCTTGTTCCTTTGAGAATAACTCTGCCCTGCCTTATCTTGGTTTGATTTTTCCTCATGACTTTTAAGAAGCAAGACTATTCTAGTGATATCTGGGTTGTTTTCATTGCAATCCATGGTGAATGAGTAGGCACTATATTCTGGGCTGTATGTGTAGACATTATGCGCTAACCTTTATATGATTCTTATTTATAGATATCGTACAATACCCAGATTAGTGGTGTTTTTTTTTTTTTTTGCATGATTATTTGTAACAACCTTTTCTTCAGTTAATTTTTTTCTAACAATACACAAGGTGTGTCAGAAAAGTTCCAGGCCTGGTGTCACATAAGATATATTTCAAACCCAAACTACAAACTATGAGTTTTCCCCGTCAGACGATCAACCAGCACGTCTACAAAGAGATCCTGCGGTGTTTGCTTCGTTCAGTGCGCGAGAAGAGGCCAAAGTTGTGGCAGGACAAGTCGTGACTGCTTTACCATGACAACGTGCCTGCTCACAATGTCCGGAGCATCCGACAGTTCCTGGCTGAGAAGAACATCACCGTGCTGGAGCAACCTCCCTACTCACCCTACCTGGCTCCGTGGGATTTTTCTCCTCTTCCCCAAGCTCAAGGGGTCATCAAGGGGACCCGTTTTGAAGACGTGGACGACATCAAGATGGCTGTGACGACGGTGCTGCGGAAGATCCTGGAAGAATCCTTCCAGGAGTGCATGGCGGTGTGGCAGAGAAGGCTGAGGAAATGCCTTAGACTCCAGGGGGATTACGTCGAAGGGGAAAACTTGTAGTTTGTTGTTTGGATTTAAAATATATCTTTTGTGGCACCAGTCCTGGAACTTTTCTGACACACCTTGTGTTTTTAAAATGCATAATGTAAAACAATTGAGCCATGCCTTTTAGCCAAATGTGCACAGTTGCACTTAATCAGCCAGTTTCTTTCTTTTTTGCATGATGCAGTTGCTTATTTGTTTTCTCTCTTTTCTCATTAACTTATTGCTGTTCTCCAAACAAGCCAATTCCTGGTAAAAACCCAACAGCTCCCATCAGCAAGGCAAAAGATAAAAATCCTTTTAATCATTTGCATAATATCTGTCAAAATCGCAAAATACCAACATTTAAATTAAAGACACTTTTTTCCGTTCTAGTTACACTTTTTCAACTCTAGCAGGTGCAAACTTGGGTATTGACAGATGGAGCTTTGATCCTTCACAGAAAACTGCAGCTGTGGTCATCTTGAATACATGTCTGTGATGATAGATTAAATTAACACATTTCATGCTAAAAAAAAAATAAACCAGTAAATAAAAACACCAACAACTCAGAAACAGCTCACTCTTACCACCACTCTTAAAGGGAAACTGTTTTCGCTGAGTCTGTTGGCTCAATACATTCATAATGGGCGTATTTTTTACTTAAATCTGGTTAAGCTTTGTATCTTGTGTTGTAATCTGTGTTTCTCAAGTAGCACGACTTGTGACAGTTTGAGTATTTGCCGCATTAGTAACAGATCTGAACGCACACAGAAGACGACCATGGTTGAGTGTTGACAATATAGAGGAAGCCAGATTATGCCAAATGTGATTTTTTTGCAAATAAACTACACCATCATCCTCATTTAGATGTTTTTAAGTAATCATGTTACAGTGCTTTGATCATGGGCAGCTGTGGCTCACGTGGAACAACAGTGTGTCCACTAATTGCAGGGTTGGCCGTTCGGTCCCGTCCCCTTCGCACTTAGCGTTCCAGCTCTACCGGCTTTGCCTTGTGACTGTGTGGGTCTACATGAATGAATGAGAAACACTGTGTAGGGCTTTGAGCATCCCTGAAGTAGAAAAGAGCTACACAAGGGTAGAGCATTTACCATTTTACAATGAAAAATATACTGGTAATATACTCCTTAAAAAACATTCTTAAAAGATCTCAGGCATATACATTTACTCACACTTAGAATAAACACGTGGAAATCCATTTCATGTTCAGTTATCAAGCTCAGTCAGAAAAAAAAAAAAAAAAAGCAACATTACAGACCAATCAATATGACCCTTTCTTTACAGGAATGACCTGTTGGGACATTTACCAGTAAGCCCCTTTGATAGTTTAACAATTCTAAATGATATTGTTTTAACATCCACACTCGTCAATGTGCAGGTTAAGCTGCTATAGGCTTGTGCTGTACCTAATGGCTTTATCAGCACAGAGATGAAAAGATGTTGCCAGATATAAATAGAGCGGCTGGGTTAGTTTCAGAAAGCTTCCTTGGAGAGGAATAGGAAATTAGGTGCTGGCTGCATACATTACACCAAGAGCTTTGCGTGGGCTTGGTCGTTTTCACTTCACACAAGCATTGTGACTCACTACTCTCCATTATTATTCACCATAAATCCATCCTACATAGCTACTACTCAACAAACACAGAGCTGTTATACAACACATGGCTTGATCCCAGTACAGCAATTTTAAAGACTTGTTATTTACCATTCAGTGTAGGTTATTTGTCAAGGAAATTGTGTAGGTCTTACATTATTCCCAAGCCTAATTAAATTAGAATTTGTCTGCTTGTGTCTGCCAGATTTACTGCCATAAGCAAATCTCATCCCACACACACCGAAGATGGACACCACACTCTAAACATTGTCAAGGTTAACTTGTTATAAAATCAACACCAACCAATCTATTGCATGACATTTAATTGTACTCATTTGCTATTTTTGCGTGGTGTGGTTGTGTTGAGTAGGAGAATGACCGGAATTAGGGAGATGGTTACTTTTAAATGACGTGAAATGACTCACATTTAGTTGGAAACACAAAACGCAAGTGTGGCAACAGCATACACAAGCGTATAGGTATGGGCGCTACAAAACAGCATTTAAATTCAACTGCTTTTAGATAATAAATCCTGAGTAATTAGATGGAAATATGACTCCCACAGTCTGCCACTGGTATGTAGCCCAAATGGGTCCGCATGGTGGTCCACAGTCAAATACAGACAGTGTGTGTTCTTAAACATAGGCACAGTTGGAAGTCGTGGCACAGGTTGCGTAGCAGCTGCGCCACGATAAAGCATGCCTCAGGATAAACATTATGCCGCACTGTAGAGTCTATCAGTCAGCTGTGTTTTTGTTTGAGATGTTATCGAGGTGCAGCTATTTTACTAATTTTGACATGTTTAGCAATTAACTCCATACAAAGTGCAGTAAACAGAAAAAAAAAGCCACAAACAAACACGTATTTATAACCAAAGAACAGCATGAAGTAAATTTTGGAACTGCGCCGCTCAGCGCATGTCTTTGTCATAGTACACAGAAGAACAAATTAAGCTGATTGTTGTCGAAAAAATACTTGTGTGTGTTGGATTTTTATGTAGACTAGTAATTATAGGCTGATGAATTGTTATTTGTGTTGGTAAAAGCCTTAAAATCTAGTATCAGCGGAGCTCATGTTTATACGCTGATACCTTGAATATACTATACAAAAAATAATAATAATGATGATGAAAAATAGGGCAAAGAGGGAAACTAGCAGAAAACAAACAAACACAAAAAATAGTCAGGGACAATCTTAACAATGTGCTGTTTGCAATAAACCCAGAACAGTAATCATCAGTCACGCGAATAGAAAAATATTGTCTCATTAAACCTTTAGCCTACATTATTACATTTTGTTCCGGGCATGTTTTGATCTGTGTTCCTGTCCTGTGTTTAGATTCTGGCTCAATCCTACTTTTGAGCTGTTTTATTAAATGCCTCACTTCCATGGCATTGTTTAAAGTGTCCTTCTAGTGAAGGTCAAGTTTTTTTATTTTTTATTTTATTTTATTAATATGTCCATATGATGTTTTGTATTTGCTGGAGGACAGATAATGAGCCAAATAAGCAGTCGTCCTCATGGCTGAGCATTAATACCTTGAAACTGCAGTTCACTGATGACAGTCTGAAAAACATGGATTCAAACTTCCAGGGTTTCAAATCTAAACAAATCAATTTACGTCAACTTCAAATGTGAGGCTTTCTATATCATCACCAGTTTAAACATGTATGGCTTAGTGAATCTGTGAATAGTAGAACTTTTTGTAGGGCATTGCAGTTTTCCAGTATATAGGGCAGAGTCATTAGTGAGCTGGTGTGCTTGAGCTATAGCAAGCAGTGGAGGTGTGGGTAAAGAAGAGGTAAGGGCTTTGTCGATGCGGATAGATTTTTAAGACACGAAAGGATTCGTTTCATGGAAATAAAAGTTTCAAATTTTGTCATTTTAATTCACGGGAATGAATATTTGGGGGGTTTAATCAACGACCAGAGAGCGACTTGACACTAATTATTACCAGGTGAGTAGGAAAATTCATCTTCTGTTATTGGAAGATATTTTACATTTCTGACAGCGCCCATATCTCTTGCATGGTGAAAAGAACTACAGACATGTG